TTGGCTTGGTCGCTCGTTTAGGGCGGCAGTACTGAAGATAGATTGGAAAGGAGGGGTAAAATACTTAAATAGTTAGTAGGAAACTAGTTATTACTACGTAATACTAGTAGATTAATAAAAGTAGAAATAAAAGTAGTTTACTTTTGTAGAATATATAGTATAATAAACCCTATTTAGGTTTACTTCTTCTCCCTAAACCACTTCTTAGTCTACTTTAGATAAATATAGCTACTGTAAACCGGTTTTGTACCGTAGTGTAGCGTAAAGCTATTCTTCTCTACCCCTTTTAGTCTTAGTTAGGTATTATAGCGTATACTAGAAATAAAACTACTTTTTATACTTACTTTAAACCCCTACTATAAAAGTAAACTACTACTTTAATAAAAGTAAACTACTATTTTAAACCTATTTACGGGTATACACGAGGGCAGTTTACACCTATACAGTAAACCCCTAGTTCACTATTCTACTGTAAACAATTTTGTACCGTAGTGTTTGTCTTAGACGAAATCTCCACATGTGTCGGTATACTGGCCCCAACCATTTCGATCGGATGCCAAGTGGAGTCTCGGATATGTGACGAAGGAAGATCCGGTGGTACTTGGGACGTGAGCCTGTCGATGCCCATCCGAAACGATAGTGCCATCTACCTAATTGTTCAATCACCAATGCAGCAGTTCATATAAATCTCGCCATAGGCACCTTTCTAGCGCCGGAAGAAAAGTGCGACATCAGAAGTAAGGTTCTCAATTTCTAGCAAGAGACTGCCCTATGTTATAAGATTTGTTATGCTCAAACGATTTCAAAAAGGGCTAGCATAGAAGTGTTGGGATTGCTTAAGTTTTGCTATTCCACTATCACTAATATTCCACTTTTTCTCCGGCGTAAGAGATGGTCAGTCGAATTGAGCCCAGGTGCAAGTGGGTTGTCGAGTCCACACTTGGCAATAGACAGGCTCGATGGGGTACAAGTGAAAATACCTAGTTAAAGACGGGTATGAATCATGGAGCTGTTCGCTTATTTTGGCATGCGAACGTACCTTGTACGGATCACATGAGTTGTGACTACATTGACTGCTTGGGTGTGATATTGGACCAGAAATCCAAAAAATAGAAGTAAACATCCCAAGGGGGTGACCACTTCGTATCACCCAGCACCCTGTATGATAGAGTCTAGTATTATAATGATTTCATGGCCTATTAGTAAGCTATGATATATATCCCCATCTACAATATAGCCGTATGACGTGCCATAGGATGCTGACAAGTATAGCGAGATGATAAATTTTGACAAAATTTTACATCCATAATCGAATCTCGCATTGTGCAAGGTTCTCATATGGACTACGACCGATTCAAGATCGTAGCTCACTAAACAAGACGGTTGTTGTGCTGTGTAGCCGCGCCTCATTATGAACAATATGATCCTCGGCTACGTGAATACTGGATGATCATGAGGAGGCGGCATACCGGTATACTTGCTCTAGGAACGTCCGGACAATCTACCTGGTGCAACCAACGACACAGCTCTCTGAGGAACTACAAAAGTGCGAAAAGGATATTGCGATTTATCTTGGAAAAATTCGTCAGATGCATGGACATCTGTATTCAGGCAACAGTATTCCCGGATATCGACAAGAACAAATGATACATTGTGCAGTTTTGAGTTGGATGACTGCTGCGCCACGAATGACTGGCGTAGCACTAAGCCACATTCGGTAGTGCTTGCGAAAATCACTGACTACAAGGAGTCGTTGGAGAACACAGTCGCATAGTAACGATGCCCCGTCCAGACGCCAATCCATCCTTCGTCCGCCTAAAACATGCAGCTGTTGTTGCTGACATCACTTGCCTATACGCCTAATAGGCCCATCCGTCTAAGTACCGTATACCGTCGGTCATCCCATCGCCTGTTCTTACCCCAGTTACTCATACCCTGACAGTGTAGTGGGAACGCACCTCGCCCAGTGCACTACCCCAACTCTCTATATGCCAGCACATCCCGTGGCTTGGTTCATGATACATACGCTCCTGCTCATCCTGAAGCTTGTCAAAGGTTGGCGAATTGAAGCTATTGCTGCGATCTAGTGGTAACGTGAGGCCTGATGGTAGTCGTAGGCTTTGGAGGCGGAGCTGCCTGATCTCTGTTGATACCACTGGCCCTTTCCTGGACATTATTTAAAATCCGAGGAGAAATTATAGAATTCAGGGCGGCCATTGTATTCGCTTTCGGTGGTCGAGTAGCCCTAAAACTTCGATTCTTTCGTTCCTTCATGTTATAGTCTAGCACCATGGTTTACACGGGAAAGCCTAGCCGGGGCTGTGGCATGTGCAAGAGTCGCAGAATAAAGGTATGTGGGCCTTGGCCTTAGCCCTGCTTCTAGGGGCATAACTACTCGTCTATGTATGGTATACAGGACTTGTGACACGATCTTCGGTTCGCAAGCCTCGCTTAACCTCACAGCTGATCTAGCACAGTGCGACGAGAAACGACCGACATGCGGCAATTGCAAGAAGTCGGGGCGAGACTGCCCAGGCTACCCAGATGAATTCGACCTGGTCTTCCGTGATGAAAACAAAGCAATGGCACGAAAAGCGAGAAAAGTGTCAGGACCAACACCGACAAGCAGTACTACGGATTCAACGAGTCCACGTAGTTCATCACATCTGTATGTACTGTTGTGTGAGGCCCGTATTGGAACTAGCAACGATTCTTGATTGGTGCTGCTTTTGGACTGTGGCACCATACTAATGGGTCGTGTTGTGACGGCTATCTTGACCATGGCTGACTGAAGTAGCTCACCATCACCAAGCGCCGAAACAGTGCCGGGAGAACACTCCTTTCAATTAATCAGTACAACACAAAGGAAATCATCCGATCCCAGCCATGCTCAACAAATTCTCGCACTTCCCAACTACACCACACCTCTACCATTGGACCAAGACTTCAATTTCGACACCTTTGTCTGGAACCTTGAAAATGCCATGCCACCCACGATACACTTGGCACCGGAATGCGAGGCCGTCCCATTTTTCTTCAAAAACTTTATCACATTACCGCAACAGGCAGAAAGTACGAGAGGCTATCTGGAATGCCTCGTGCCACTATACAATCGCGCGCGACCGTCTTCGGTTTTACACCTAGTCACTACAGCCGTAGCAATGGCAACCTGTGGACAATATCCAGGTAGACAGCAATTGCTTCGTGAGGCAGTCTCAACATACGGCAAAGCAATTAAGAAGTTGAACGAGGATTTGAAAGATCCAATCATGTCGAAGAGCGACGAGACAGTACTCGCCATTCTCATGTTCTCTTTGTACGAAGTAAGCCACTCCCCCCGGCCATTTATATCAAATAATGAGACTTGTGCTGATGTTTCTAGACTATAATGTCCACAGACGATACAATCACCGCATGGGGTAACCACGTCGATGGCGCTGTCGCCCTCACCAAACTACGCGGCACTGCACAATTCGCTGACCCAATGTCGCACGCCATCTTCCGCGCCGTCCGCACAATGATGATAACCTCGTGCGTCCAACGCTCCAAACCCATCGACTCCTTTCCCAGTGATGCAGGCTGGATCGGCTCCGGCAGTCTATCTGAAGAAAACGCAGCAAACCGGCTCACCTTGATTTGCATTGATTTGCCCAATCTTCGCGCACGAGCAAACTCACTAACGACCACGCCCTACACACCGGAACACGCCAGCGAAGCAGCCCAGATCCTGTCGTTTGCGCAAACCGTCGATGGCAACCTCGAAGAGTGGTACCGCACGCTACCGTCCGAGTGGAAACACCGCATCATCGGGGTAGTCAGCGAACGCATAGCGCCCGAGGATCTCGCGCTCGCGGAGAAGTGGCCAGGCGAACAACACGTGTACCACGATGTACCGCTCGCAAGCGTCATGAATGACTATCGCGTCTGTAGAATTTTCTGCCGGAGGGTCATCATGGCTTGTGTGGAGTGGTTGAGTCTGGGTAGGGGTGCTGGGCTCGAGGACGGGGCCGTGTGGAGGGATGAGGATGGCGCGCGTGAACGCAGTGTTTGGGTGATTCAACAGATGGTGGATGAGATTAGCGCTTGTGTGCCTTTTCATATGAGTTATGACCTTCAGCCTCTGGCCAAGGAAATGGGCCAGGAGCAAAATGGTAAGGCCTCGACTCCCCATTTTTCCCTATCATCATTCCCTCCTCCAAACAGCCAATCCAACAACCAAAACCACAAACGAACACACAAACAAACCTAACTCCCCAACAGCTGCAGAGGCCTTCGGCGGCTACTCCCTCGTCTGGCCCCTCTACGTCTCCGCAAACGCCGAATCCGTACCCCAAGACCAGCGCGACTGGCTCTTTGGCCGTCTATCCGTCATCGGCACCAAATTTGGACTCAGTAGTGCGCAGATACTTGTCCTGGCTAGACGGCACGTCCTTACTTGTGGGCCGATGTTTCCATGATTCTTTTGTCATGGGGTGGGTAGCTAGGTAGTTGATGTATTTTGCGTTGTACGTTTTGTATCTTTCTTCTTGGACTGGAGGTGGAGATGGGAGGAGGGGCCAAGAGCCCGGCGTTAATGCGGGTCGAAGGTATGTGGATGTGGTGGGATGGGACTGTGGATTTATGGAAAGGAAGAGGATGGTTTTGGTTTGGCAAGCATGCACGATGTATCATCCATCCCTCTATCCCTCCGCACAACAACACAATACTCCAAACCCCGAGCAATCATACAATCATACAATGACCCTCAACCTAAACCTAACACACCACTTTTCCTCCTCCACACCATCCAAATCTCTTATACGCGCCACTTAAAAAATGCATCTTGACCGAGATTTCTGAACCCAGAGACAGCAGATCTAGGTCGAGGCACGCAGTGTGCCGTTCAATTCTAAGACAGAAAAGGAGGATCGATTTTTTTTTCATTTTGAAATTGCGGTTTAGGCTTTCTGATATAACGTTTCATGAACTGATAAAGTGAGATCCTCCTTAGAGCTCAACTCTGGGAATACGTGGTGATGCAAGCATTGAAACATGAGCATCACGTTCTCGTTGCAAATCTACGTAGCTCACCGGCTTGACAGAGCCAGCCGAACGAGCAAGGCGGATGACCAAGGCCAGAGTCGACGGAATCCCAATGCTTGTGGGCAATCGAAGCAGCACAGAGTCTGGCGTTAGTTCATCACAAGCAGAATATGCAAGTCACACATTGACATAACAACATCACGCAACGCACATGGACCATAAGCCATCACATGGACAACGCATGCGTCGAATCCTGCCAGCGAACTGGACAAGAAAGGTTTGTTCAGGATGATTGCATTCGCTATGAAGCACCATCCTCAGCCACCACGCTGACAGCAGGAAAGCTTTACGCATTCCGCGCTGCAAGTCACATGCAGGCCCGTAGGCACCGCGGACCCGTTGTTTTCCTCCCAATAGCGACTTTTATATCCGGAACCAGACGCCGTATCATGCACATCGTAACAAGCACTTATGCGACGAGCTGAACAACACCGCCGGCCTCCTTGATCTTCTTCTCGGCCTCGGCGCTGACGTAGCGGGCGCGAACGACAATGGGGACCTCGGGCAGACGACCCTTTCCAAGGACCTTGGCGTAGCCGAAGTCGAGGACGTTGAGGACAGGGGCGTTACCACCCTTCTTGGCGAGGTATTCGTCGCGCTTCTCAGCGGGGATGAGCGACCAGAGCTTGTCGAGGTTGATGACGGGCTTCCAGAAACCGTTCTGCATCTTGTGGACTATATTTTTGCGTTAACGCCGCTGGTTGACGCTGAGAGAGGCGATGTGGTGTATACTTACAGTACCTCATACCAACCTTTCCGAAGTAACCAGGGTGGTACTTGTCAATGTTGGTCCTGTGGTGGTGCTGACCACCAGCCATACCACGACCACCGGGATGCTTCCTCTGTGTGGTTGTCAGTGTGCGCTCGCAATGTCTTCGATGTGTGAGTACTAACGTGCTTTCCAACACGTCCGTGACCTGCGGAAACATGGCCGCGGTGCTTGCGGGTCTTTGTCAATCTGCGCGAGAATGTGAGCAATGCGCATCATGTGTTGCGATCGTGAAATTGGGCGTACCTGGTGGGCATATTGACGGTTGTGGTTGACTGTTGTTAGTATTGAGTTCCGCTGTCTTCAGAAAGTCGTTTCGCTGGAGTGGGCGACAAATGCTTTAGCGAGACTCCACCTCGGAACGGCTGAACTAATCCCCGTCGATCACGTGAGCCCGTACTTCCCACCCGCCAACCCCCTCGAACGCGACAGCGGATCAAGCAAGTGATTGGTGACTGTTGGTAGCTCATCTTGGGTTACTATTTATTGACCTTGAAAACTCTTTCGCTATGCAATACACACTACTAAAGCCACTGCACGACTCATTCACCCCCAGTAAGGTGTGCGCAAACCGACGAATGTCGATCCAAGACCGTCACCCGTATCCTCCTTCTTTCGCTGTCCCGCAAGCTGAGGGCATGTTAGCCTAATCCAAAGTTGAACTTTGAAGGCCTCATCGTACCTCAAGCTGTATATGCCTGTGAACATGCACGAGCCAGTCTACATAACTTTGCGCCTCGTTGTTGCGGTCCTCATACAGCAGTCTGGCAAACTCGTACTCTGCACCATCTAGACCCTGACGAGCGAGTTGAATGGTCAGAGCCTTGGATGCTCGAGTGCCTTCTAGATATTGGAGGATATTCCGTACTTGTGCGTTGAGGTGGGTTTCAAGCACTGGAAGTGTTGACTGGAAGGGGTCAAGCGCTTTCAAGCTGTTGAAGCCTTCACCAAAGAGGTCCTCGAGCAGATTGGGCGAAACCTGCGAGTGCAGCCATAACAGACATACTTGGCCATTGTCCACAATGTAGGCACCACCCTCCTCGACCTTGGAGAACGAGGCTCGTACGCCTTCTGGCATGACCAAATGGCCTTTCTCGTTTGCAAATCCATCGGTTGCCTCTAAATTATGTATCGCGATGATCCTTGGGTAGAGGTATAGCGAAAGTTCCAATGGGCCCATTGACTTGATCATCCTCATATCGTGGACTCGCCTGTCAGTTGGCTCCTTGCCGCCCTTGAAAGCCCTTGATTTGATCAAGCCGAGAATGTACATGCCAAACTCTTTCAGATTTTCCGGCAAGACGAGTTGACCCGGTGGACTGTTTCCAGTGAAATTCTTCCTGTAGCCCGCAAGGATGTCCACCGTCTTCTCCGTCAGTGCCCCCCTGATATCCTTGAGACTTTTCTCGGTCATGCGAGCCGCAGCCTCCTTGGCAATGATGTTGACAACTGCATCCTGGTCCACAAATCTCATGCACTCGCCTGTATTTGGGCTGACACTCGCAACAATGTTAGTACACCTTACACGACGCTCGCCGCTTGCAGTGGTGTACAGCAGCGCACTCTGGAAATGCGCGTCCAACTTGGGATCAAGCTTGCCGTCATAGCTGAACATGACACCAATAGCCTTGTCTGCATCAATGACGCCAAACTCGAGATCAGCACCGAATGTGTGGTGGTAAAAATTGCCATGGTAAGCCGAGACCTGCAGACCGTTTGAGCACCGAACCTTCATCAGCGCTTGATAGCCGGTTTCGCGAGTAACTGTGTGCTGGATCTCTTTGGACAGCTTGAGTACGTCCCTTGGCGAGTGGAAATTGGGGTAGTAGAATACCTCTCCTCCGGTAACGGCAGAGACATGACCTGGTCGTTATTAGCATGTGATGTAATCCAAATTACTGCACAGACCTACCGATTGTAGCAATATCGAGATAGCCGCCACTTGGGGCCGCTAGGAAGAAGTCGATACCAATACCATTTTGTACCATCTGCTCAGCAGCCTTCTTGAAGCCGGGATGCTCTGTCGTCAGAAGCTTTTTCTCGGCGTCGGTGTTGTGCATGTTGACATCATCACGAAGCATCAGTCGTCCTGGACCATAGGTTGGGAGTGCTGCTAGCGAGCAAACAATCTTTCCGCCTGTGGCTGATAGAGCAGCAACAGCTGAGTTCAAGGTTGGCAGAAGGGCTGGTTCCGGGTGCTTGAACTCCGAGAACATGGCGGGTAGCTGAGTGAGCAGAGAAGTGATGGCAGTCTTTGAATCTTCGGGGTCAACAAATAGGCCTTCGCTGAATGGCAGGAAGGGCTCCTCAAGATCTGACATGACCACCATTTGGGCCGTCTTCAGCTTCGGGCTCAAGTTGTAGAAATGCATCTCCTTATCGAATGTCACAATTCCAATCTTGGCGCCTTTGGGTATCCGGCTCATGTTCGCGCTTCCATCCACATTCTCATTTGATCCGCCATACAGCGCATTCAGGACACCTTGGCAGAAGCCGTCCAAGAAGCCTCGATTAACAGCCTCGGCTGTGACATCGATCAGGAACAACCATCGCATTCCCACTGGCTCCTTGGACCAATATTCCTTGGGTACCATGAAGTCGACCGTACCCAGCGTGAGTTCGGGTCGTTGAAGTCTATCCACTCTTACACCAGTGTGATCTGTGGGCGCAAAATAATCCCCAGGTACGTCGTTGGGGTATGTACACATGTTGCAGACTACCTTGTTACCACCAGCCTTGAACTGCATGAAAGGATTGATGTACGTTCGACAACGCGTACACCTGGGTGGTCCGGTCTCGCCAAAATCCAATACTGGGATAGCCTGCTCCCCCTCTTGTTGTGGCGCAAGTGGCTGTATAACCATTCCCAGAGGGAGAGCAGTCGTAGCAAGGGCCTGCGCTGATATAGGAATATTATTGATGGTCAACCTTGCAAACTTGGGTGAGGAATTGCCTTGATCATAGGCGACGAAGGGAACCGTCGCGGGAGGCGGCATATGGTGCTCCATGGTGGGGTATATGTGTTCGAGGTAGTACTTGGCAGGCGCATCTCGCGACCTAGGTACACTGGGTATCTGGTCGGGATCCACTCGGCCTTGGGCAGATCCCACTGCCATCCCCCCAGATTGATGAGGCGGGGCAGGCACTCGTGCAGCGTGCTGCATCGGCGATGCTACACTGCCAGGACTGAACAGAGGATTGACCGGTGCTGGGAACTGGCTCATTGCAGGCGTAATCTGGGGCTCCATCCATTGTGCTCCACCAGCCTGAGGTGTACCCTGGCCCATGTATTGTGTAGGTGTTCCAGGCTGCGGCGTGCCATTGAAGCCTTGTACATTTCCTCCTGGTCCCTCGAGATTGTGGTAGGCATGTCTATCCTTCTTCTTGTGCCTGGGCTGGACGACCTGTTCGTGCCCCAGCCCAACGGCTCCCATTTGACCCGCCAAGTTGTTCACATCCTGATCGCCCTGTGTCGACCCGTACATCGGTGGTGATTGCTGAGGCGGAAAGTAGCTGTCAGGCTGGGCAGGTGTATTGTTGTATTGCGCTGGCGTGCCCCCGTACTGATTGGGCGGTTGCCCGATGGCAGGGCTTCTTCCGGTTTGTTGATAGCCAGCCGGGCTCGCAGCAACCGGTGGACGCCATTTGCTAGGCTCGTCATTTCTTGCCGGTCCATTTGGGTTCGGTGAGCCGGTCCCGAAGGCGTGATATGCGGCAAATTCGGACATGGTTGTGGCGCGGGGATGGCTATAGGTACCGGTGTTCAGAGCTCGAGGAAGAGGACGTCGGAACTAATGCAACGTAATGCCCTTGCAGCAAGAGGGAGGGAAAAGTGGCGCGCGGAACAGGTTTAGAGGCTATCGTGTCATATTTGGGAACATGCTGGAACAGATTCAGTGCTTTCGAAATGTCGCGATGGATGTTGATGATCTGGCTATTTTCAGTATGCTGTCGAGATTGATTGGCCGAGCGGCTCTCCCTCACATGCAAGCACGAATCAAGGGTCTAGCAGTCGCGTGTTCGCAGGGATTGATGGGACCTTCCCCAAGATCGAGAACACGTTGTCGCTTTCGACTTAAGATGGTAGCTACATCAGTCTCAAACACTTGCATTGAAAGCAGTCGCTAATTTATTCCATCAACAGCTCTGGAAGGCTTGTTTAGTTTGGGTATTTCGTCTTTGGATACTTCTGCGGCGCATTGCACAAGGCAGCTTGCATCTGCTCGACTTTCACGTCGCCTGCAACTCTAGGTAGCCCTTGAAGCTGGAGGATACCTTGTAGCTGCAGTCTAATCACACAGAGAATGTACAGGGCACATCCTTTTCCTATCCGTACACGTACACGTAGCCTCACTCCAACTTATCAAGATGTGCCAACCTTGTCAAAACCACCTGTTTACTCGTCTCCTCAATCTCTCCCGCGAGAAACACTTCGTCCAGTATAGCATAAACCTGCAGCGTATCAGCTCTGAATACCTCCCCAATTATAAACGAACAGCCATAATCTTCTCCCAAGAACACTTCTCCCCAGTACTGTATCACATACCTTGTAGAAATTGAACACCAAATCCAGCTCACACACATTCCCAAAAAAGGCATCCAACACCTCGACAAAGAAGTGAATCGCCTCTAGATACGCCAGCTCATTGTCATTTGTATCCACGCAGGCACAGAAGAACAGACCTGCATATCGACGATATACAATCTTGGACATGTTGCGGAACTCGACAAAGTTGGACTGATGTTTTTGATCGCGCGGGGCAATGAGGCGGTGGACCTAGAAGAAAGGCGTTAGGTAGGGATGTATATGGCCGGGTAGACGTAGAGGGTGCGTGGTGAGGAGACATTGGGACATTTATGCAGCCATCGGTAGGAGGCGTGGGTATACTGCGGGACGATGGCGGATGTAGGGAATGGAAGGCTATTGCGTACCTCGCCCTTTAGCTTGACTTTCTCTTCATCCTAAACCTCTCGTTAGTCTTCATTGTACCTTGGAATGAGACCGTTCGAGTACTCACACTGTACGGCGCATACCACTTCGCCAGCCGTGTCTTGCCTCTGTTCGGTTGATCAATCACCGGTTTCCACAACATTCCCCTTCTCCAAATATACTTACTGCCGGTTCTGAATGAGTATGAAAGAGAGCACCATCTTCCCCCGCGTACCTCGAATGCTAGGCTCGGCGCGTCGAGGAGTTGCGACACAGCGGCGCGCTGTGCGGGAGACGACAGGGGCTGGTGCGTGGAGAACTGGACCCCTGCTTTCCGTGTGGAGGTCCCGCTTTTAGCCGCATGCCCGACTGGACGCGCCCGCCGATGATCCGACCTCTCCAGACCTCTCCGCATTACACATGTCAGGGTCACGAAACAACAGGTTCGCTGTACAACACTGGTACTGGGTTACACATACAGATCGAAGGGGTGCAGAAGGCAGTGTTTTATATCAGGTCACTAACATGCTATATTCTTTTCATCCTCCTTACTAAAGTCACCTTCAAACCAGGTCACCCATCTCTACCCAGACGCCTACAAATTAAAACCAACAAACTGGTTGCATTTAGCACAACCCCAGATCTATGTTTATACACCAATACTTCCAAGTACAATTATCTAAACTATATCATATTGGCCTTACACCCAACGATTTCACACCATAAAACCCGTGCCAAAATGCCCACTCCATTCATCCGCCCCTACAACCCCACGCTCGACTTCGCCAACGGACTCCATGTCGTACGTCACCCCCCTCCCCAACTCCAAACCCCAAACCCTAAACATGCTTCCCAATAAAAAGTACTTCGCTACCATCGACCCAAGCCTAGACTTTGAGCCTGCCCGCACAATCGGCTCCTACCTCTGGTACCGGCCCTACGTCCACCTCACACCAGAGACCTGCCACGTCCTGGACGACGGGTCTGGCCACATAGTCGGGTACTGCATTGGCGCCGCAGACACGCTGGCTTTTGCGCAGCGCTGGCGTGAGGAATTCCTCGCCGAAATTGATGCTGCGTGTGTTCCTAGGCCCGAGGTGCGGACGGGGAATGTGGGTATGGAGGGGGAGATGGTAAGGGGGTTTAGGGCGGCGGCATATGCTGCGCATGTTAGCATGCTTCAGGATTGGCCAGAGGTATTGGGGCGGTTTCCCGCGCATCTGCATATTGATATTCTGCCTGGGTTTCAGAAGAAGGGGTATGGAAGGCAGCTTGTTGAGGCGTTTTTTGGGACAGTGAAGGGGATCGGGGCGCAAGGGGTGCATCTTGATATGGTGAGGACGAATGTGAATGCATTGGCGTTTTATGAACGCGTGGGGTTTAGGAGATGCGAGCAGGTTCTAGATGGAGGGGCTAGTGGGGAGGCTGGGGTTGATGGGGTTGTATTAACGTTGGTTAGGGAGCTTTGATACTTGGTGTGCTGTCTTGCATGACTATTTTAATGTTTCCGTGCTAGCAGGAATTGGCTTCATAAGTATCAATGACGTCATGAGTACCAATACAACACCACTTTATCGGTAAGTCCCTCCCACCGTCATCCCTTCAGTAATCACAGCCCTGACCCTTGCAGTGGATGAAGCCCAAGCTGAGATTCTCCTTGCAGTATCGACGCTCACAGCGCCAGATGTATTGCTCGGTGGGCTCGGGGCTCGTGAGGCAATTTTCAGCCTGGTGTTGGAATATTAGTCTCACTTGGTAGGTTAGTGAAGTTAGAATTGCGTTTGTATCATGACGGTGAGGTTGTTAAAACGGTTAGGCCGTTAGAGTAGATGTGCGAGAAGATAGAGATGGTGTGATATGGTAGAGATATTATGGTAGAAGTGTACTCATGTGATGTATTCGAGAGCTTTATACGGAGAACTTTATATTCTTCTAGACGGTGAGTATATTAAGACCTCAAACTCATACTATAAGCACGACCAACCTTCCACTCCAATCCATAGACCCCAATTCTATAGTCTGCAACTACTCCGCTTCCTAAAAATACACGAGTCACATAATTACTTTTCATACCTACAGCAATTAATACAACACAAGAGTGTACCGGATAAAGCAGGCCTCTGCTTACAAGATCTCCACGTCGATTCAAGCCATATTATATAGAGAGTACTGTGGCAATCACAATACCAATTATCACCGCATTCTCACTATTCGAATTCCTTAATCAGGGCATACGTGATAACATCGACATACACCAAAGTCTCTAAGCAGTATCAATGAATCATAAACGCCGCATCATTCATTCAATTGCAACAGGAGATGATATGGGAACATAGTATGAAAATTAGGGTTTCGTATGACTCTGAAGACTTGAAATGCAAACATTGTAGAGAATTAAACGTATCAATCAAGAAAAGGAGGTGAGTTAAAAAGTAAGTCGTGAAGACAAAAATTTCTAGCAAGCAGCGTAGGAAATAAATGCTTGCGCGCAGTTCAGGGTGATAAAAAGCCAATGTCATCTAAGTTGGACAAACTGTGTCGTAACAATGTAGACGCGCAATAGCATATAAGAGCGCATGAAGCATATTGTAGATTGCACTAAACCATCATGGGACAATACATCTGAATTACTTCCTATCACTTGGGTTCACACAGTGTCTATTTCAATATAGTGTGTATTGCAGTATATAAGCTTGCCTAAATAAGTATTAAGATTCGGTCGCATAAATGTAATCGCTTGGTTCCTTTCATGCAGATACTATCCCTATTCAATACTCCTAACGTGCCACGAAACCCACAGAGTACGAGGGTTCCATCATATATGATATTGAAATCGACTCAACTCAGGCCTTTTGTTCCAGATCACAGGCGCAAAGTCGACGCCGAAGCCTGGAGGACGAGTATGCCTGGACTTTGTCGATGATATCGAGGTGGCGCGGAGATCTCTTTGGCTTTGGAAATCTGTCGATTTGTCGGTAAGAACAGAGGATGAGCGCGAGATGATAAACGTTCTTGTCCGCTTCCTTGGGCCTACTCGTGGTGCTTCAACTGAAGTTGTCCCTTTCCCGTCATACTCGATCTCGTCTCGTCTCGCTCGTTTTCTGGGAAGCGAAGTCTTGGCAGATTTGAAAAATGACTTCGTTGTGCTCATAGAGAGCTCGTTGACCTTGGAGGTGACCGTATGCGCCATTCTTTTCTCTGTTTTCTTGCTTTCCGACTGCAGCTTGGGGTGTGGACGCTCGGAAGACTTTGCTTTATTCTTGCCAGCTTTAGCAGGAATGATTACGGTGTGCGTTATTGTCTTCTTTGATCGAACAAGGTCTTGCGCGGAACTCAATTCCCTGCTAGACTGCGTTGCATCTGTCAAATAGCCGTCATCATTCGAGTCATCAATGACGATGATCTCCCTCTCTCTATCCTGTACAGTGTTACGGGTCATGGTTTGCGCAGTTTTATGGCTCTTCGACTGCTTCTTGGGGTGCGAACGCTCGTAGGTCGTGACGAAAGACTTTACTTTATTATTTTTGTTGGCTTTTGAGTTAGCAGGGATGATTGCTGCGTGTGCCATTGTCTTCTTCGATCGAAAAGAAGCATCTTGCGCAGAGCTCAAATCCATGTTAGACTGCGTTGCATCTGTAAGATAGCCATCATCATCATATGAGTCATCAACGACGATGATCTCCCGCTCTGCGTCCTGTATGAAATTCCGGGTCATGAGAGGATTCGAAGCAAGGGAGGTTACCTCCAAAGCTTGTCGCAATGAAAGCCCAAAAGCGAGTGACACCATACGATCGACGCCGTTCCCAACGATTTCAAACTGTTGAGCCAAGGTACCAATTATGGGCTCGTCATCAGGATAGTTTTGTGCACGTCTAGCTTCAAGGATAGTGATGGGACGGTCTTGAGCCCAGTGTATTGTAGCGCCATTACGCGAGTCGGCAATCCGAAGCCTGGTTGTGATGCAGGGTATAAGGCCATCTTGCTTGATACGCGTGTACGATCTCCCTGTCTCAGTCTTATTTCGTTGAAGCATCTTTGGTATAAGACCTAGCTTCATAGCTTCCGCGTAGCCGCAGCCTGGAGGGCTTTTGGGGATGTGCTTCAACAAGGACCTCTCCATGATAGTCGGTAGCGGAAAGACTCGGTGGTCCGGAAACGAAACGCAGGTTTGGGCATTGCCATTGCCGATATCTGGCAGATCTGCAGCTACCTGTCCAGCCGATGGTACAGGGAAAGGGGTTGGGTATGACTCTCGCTCGCCAAGTCGCTGACCGTTGGGAAGATTTCCCAGTGATTTACTCTTGGTCACCTCGTACGAGGCACTGTGTGTGTGCCAGGGTTGGTCAACAGGCGTCAGACCTGGAGCAGCGATGGTGATCAATATACGAGATCGCCTTTGTGCACTGCCATAGTTCCATCCGTCCATAATGTATTGGTTGACCTGGTAGCCCATAGAGACGAGGCATGCTATCACACTCGATAGTACATTCTCATCTTCGAAACCGGTACGAGTAGAAGCCATACTAACAACATTCTCCAAGACTCCGTACAACGGGCGAAATAGATCGACAAACGAGAGGAACGTACTTATGTGTGAGGCATTACGCAGTGAAGCTTTACTACGAAAGTTTTGTTGGAGTGTGGAGAAACCTATGCGGAATTAGTACATGGGCATTAGAGTACATCCTGATAGCCGTACCAGGACATGGAGAGCCGGCACAAAGGAACTCAACCTTGCCGATGCCTGCGATTAAGTCTCGGTTCGTCCCCTTCAAAGCAGCTTTGAGGTAGTCATCGACAGAACCACAATAAAGGCATATTTTAGGGTTTCGGGCGTTTGCCCTTTGGGTATGGATAGCGTGGGGACTGAAATCAACCGCAGTGTGGAACTCGACCCCTCCGCCTTCCTCGATGCCTCGGTCGAGCGATCCGCCGCCACTGAAAATGCTCAGTCCTTTAAGTTTTCGGCATTTTGTGACTGGTGCTTCGCGGAAGCACTTTGGCGACTGGACTAAGAACCTCAACTGAGCATCTGGAAGGGCAATGCTCATAGATACGAACCACCGATCACCGGCTCCTCCACGGTCGTAAGGGGATGGTATCGAGTGCAGCTGTTCTTTGGTTAGGTATCGTACAAAACATTCGCGTTGCAAGCGGGATATGGCGATTGTCGAGTACTCGTCAGTAAGCACAAGCTCGTTCGACGCGATATCTGTCCTGCCTGCATCCATCGCCAGACTGGCACAATCACGACCTAAACGTAGGAAATTTCGTACAGTGACACGGCTCCCTACGTCGTGCATTTCCCATACAATCGCAGGTTCCAAGATTTTTTCGCCTTTCAAAGTCGTTGTGATGTACACTGTGTCTCCGCGGCGGAATTTTTGAGAAGGCGCAGTCTTTTTTATCTTACACATGCATGTGCGTTTATGCTCTTCCTTAAAGGTTTTGAAGGCGCTCTCACCAGTAACATATGTCTGGCGAACGAAAAATTGTGACGACGGAATGGCATTGGGCAACCAACGCACATTATATCTGCCGACCACATCGGTAGATAGTAATTTGTCTTCGTTACAGTTGCAATTGTCGGAAAAGAAGAGCTCATTCTTGAACGCGTATTTGGCCTTTGAGATGCTCGTGTCCCAAGATTGATAAAGCCATAGAACAGCAAGCTCTTGGATATTGTCTTTTCGCATCTTGACGTCGTAAACGTACGCAAGCCACTCATCACCTGAGCTCCGCCAGACCTTGCGATCCACCTCATTTGACCTCAGGGCGACTACATCGCCAATACTGACCAGTGCACCTCTATAAAGTTGTAGTACACGAGTCGATGTTGCCAGGGGCACATTCTTAGAGGCTGTAATGAACCCAAGCTGGCGCTTACGGTGCTCTTGCTCATGTTCGACTTTTTGCGACGCTTTGAGTGCTCTTATATAGTTGCCAAAGTACATATGTTTAAATGCTTCGTAAACGACGGGTGTCGCAATTGTGTGTTGCTCAATTTGTGGCTGAGGTTTTACGATGGCCATGCCTTTTACCATGCATTCACCCCATAGTGGGTGAGTCAATAGATCCAAGTTTGAGAGATTGAATGCTTGGTGGTAGATGAAATCGATATAGGCGTGAACTGCAACACGGAAGTCGGTTCGCTCTTTGGACTCGATATGCCATGCCTTGAAGCTTTTGCTTCTTACAAAGCGTCTAAGCAGCCAGCGAAGGAAGTCTTTGCGAAAATTTCCAAGCGTCACTGATCCTATCGGCTGTGTTTCCATGTAGTCGATAACATGCTTGCCTAGCTGGGCGATCCAAAGAAAAGGCTCGTGGAATCTCTTATACACAGCAGAGGGCTGTCTAAGCCTGTACCACACATCGTAACGAGCGTTTTTGCTGGCGAATTCTGATTGGATATAAGCGACGATGTCAGGATGTCGATCTTCGCCGTATCCTTCGATAGAGCAGTCTTCAATTTCGATGCCCTGTACATAATGGGTGATGCCTCCAACGCGAAGGAAACCGTCGAAGCACAGCTTTTTTGCTGAAGGAACTTGAAGTAGGTGCAAGCTAATCAACTCAGATTTCCTTGCCGAATGGCCTACGATGGGTGACCGATAGATTTCGAAATCGAACAAATCCACGCAAAGCAATGGCTTTCCTGGAGTGTACCCATTGTATTGAGGAACGGGACCCGGGTTCTTTTTCCACGCGGCCTGAGGATGTTTAGCTCGATCTTGCATGCACAACCCTAGAATACTCACCTTCAAACTTGCGAGGGCTTCATTCTCTGGGACAATGCGAGCCGGAGGACACCAATTGACTGAATGCGAGCGGGCGAAGTCACCCAAACACGGATTGACTCGTACTTTGGATGCAAAGTTTCTCGGCCTTGGAGAAGGTGCTGCTGGTGTTGAGGGTATCACCTCGATTTTTGCCATATTGCGAGACGTCGGGCCCAGTATCTTTCGTCGAACTTTGAGTGTAAGCAGACTGTAAATCGGTACGGAGTCGCAGAAGGAAGGTGGCGACCCCAGTGTTGTACTACCGAGCACCCGTCCTCTAGACAGTCATCCTGATCAAACCCGTGGTGAATCATGAGGTGAATCAGGCAATTGTGCAAATCCCATCCAGGCGTGCTCCATTAACGGTGTCCTAGCTCTTCTTGAGACTATTCGACTTCGCGATCAACAAACAAACTCACACTACGCCGTGACAAACACGCACATGGTGGTAAGGGCTGCAAAGCGCCGATTGTCAAGCTCACAAAGAAATCGCGTTTGCTTCACAGAGGCGTCGTTTGGCCACTGCGGTGACAATTGTAGTCGACAGACGATGCGGTCTCACCAGACTGTAGGTAGCAGGTACTGGTAAGGGCACCCCGTGGCCCTACCGGTAGGCCTCAGGCTAAGTCGGCCCCGGAAGGAGCATCTCGCAACAAGATATGGTGCAGTCTTGCAAGATGGCTAGTCTTGACATTTGTGGATAGCAATTTAGCATTGGTGAGGTTTTGTAGAGGTGCAAGAGTTGTACGCAAGATGAGCGAAAGACCCTGACGCGTGTCCCAAAAGAGAGAAACTCACAGCTGCATCCAACAGGACATGAGAGGAGTTTGAATCTCAAGATATACGTACAGTGCACGACGACACTTGCCAACCACTTGGAGGGAGGATTGAAAATGTTGGGTGAGTAGCTAGAGGCCGTCACACAATACAAATCCGTTGTTCCGGTAGGTGAAGGCAAGCTCTACTCAAGAGACTATGCACACCGGCCGGTGACGCAAGAAAGCAAGCGTACGCTAGAGTACGGTACCACATCCATTAGTTCTGAAAACTGCCTCTAGGTAGCCTTCATATCGAGCTATTATAACTGTGTATGCAATAACTTCTGTGTATAAACACAACGTCGTCACAACCCCCCCCCCCCATCCGTCATGTCAAAGTAGTCACCACTGGAAAGGTGGGTGTCTAGGTCATGTCAAAGTAGTCGCCACTAGAAAGGTGGGTGTCTAGTAATCCTGCGCCACAAAACGCCTATCCCGTGAATACACGAGCCCCTTCCTCCACGTGTTTCCCCCCCATTTGTAGCAAAAGTGTCAAGTTTAAACTCCTCATCACCATCATCACTGTGCCTTGTCCTGTGGTAGATAATCCCAAATATGACTGGAATCCCACGATTCCGTTTCTTCCTGCCTTGCCTTGGGATCTTCGCCCCTTCTCTTCGCCTGATCCCGCAAAGTGTCCAGCTCTTTGTCCATCATATCCACCGTCTCTTGCAAGCGCTGGCGTTCCGCCAATACATCCTGCGTGGGTTCTACCACTTGACCCTCTACCTGGCCTTTGAAGTGCTGCAGTTTCTCGTTCATAGTATTGCGGTTGTCTTGTTTTGTAAAATAATCATCGAACTTCTGTCGTCCACCGAAACAAATTCCATAGCCGTCGCAGTAGCAAGTATTCATTGCCGGACAGAAGACCTCATGGCCTGTAAAAATGTAATGCCATATGTATTCGAAGATGCGACCAGAGTATTGATCTTCCATTGGTGTTGTGAGGAGCCACTTTCTGTAATGCAGAAACCGCTCAATCGGTACATCTCTGATCCTCTGCTTTGACAGAGCAAACTGCGCACAGCAGATCCCACTTAATGACGGTGGAATCGGGGCACCGGGATGTAGTTCTTCCCAGATGTGGCGGCGCCAGTAGATTTCCTCGGGCTTGTAGTAAAAGTCGAAGTCGCCACCGGGGCGGTCGAGGTGGATCCAGTCTGGGCAACCTGGGTCGTGGTGACAGCGCAGATTCATGTAGCCCATGCGTGCGACGCGTTCGTGATTAAGACGCTTGATCATGGTGACGGTGCTGAGGCCTTGCAGCATGTTGTTGTGCCAGGCGTAGCGGTGTGCGTGCATGAAGATTGTGGTGTCGGCGAGGTCGTCGTAGTGGTCGATGATGTAGGAAAGGTAGACCTGTCAGCGTTTCTGGGTTAGCCATATGTACTCGAGGCATGTGAGGGATTGATTTCGGGATGCTGTAGACCTACCATGGCCTCGCGGCCTTTGTTCTTGGGCACTTTGTGCTCTGCATTGGGATTGTCGAGTTCGTAGACGACAAGGGGCGCGTCTGGGATTTCCTCGGTTATCCAAGCAATATCCTCGTCTTCTGTCTTGGGTACAACAATCTTGTAGGTGTAGTTGCTGCCTGGCGGCTTCAATTGGCTTAAGCCATCTGTGAAGCGCAGCGGCAGGCTAAAGTCGAGCGGATCCCCTCGCAACGAGGCTGGCTTGTATGTGGAAGAGGAAGAGGAGGCGGGCGAGGGCGCGGAAGGGTGCGGGGATTCCCATGAGGATAAGGATGAGCCTGCTCCTGGCACGGTTTGCAGGTACCACCACGCCAGACAGAAGAGGGCGGCAGCAAAGACGGTAGAAATCAAACGAGGCGGCCTGCTGAGCATCTTGACGCTCAGCCCTGTAGCCTTGAGTGCAAGACAGTTGGTTTGGTGGTAGCAAAGGCTGATGTAAAACAGGTGGTCAGCCGGAGGCTCACGACATGGACGTGTATATACACGATGTGTCGATGCAGGTGCGGGCCTGAGCGGCGTTGGTCGATGTCTGTGGCTGTGGCTGTCTTTGTGTAGATGTGTGGGTGGGTGTGGATGTGGTGGGTGTGGGTGTGGCAACAAGACTGTGCTGTGTGGAGTAGCAGGAAAAAGGACTATTAGTGTATGTAGTAGGTACCTATGCAGGCACAGGTAGGTATTAAGGATTATTCAAGAAAAGGTATAAAGGGGCGTCGCATTCGCTTGGTGTGTCTTCTCGAACGGGGAACGTGGCTACACAGCTACCGACGGCGGGATCTTTGCGGGGTTGCTGGCCTCAACGATGTACAACATACCGGTACATACGGTGGTACTCTCTACCCAAGGCCCTCCCCCAAGTTCCAGCGTGTTTATGCTTCGTGTCGTCGACTGACGGTCGGAGTTTGGATGGGACCCACTGCCTTTTCCAGGATTTCAGCCTTGCCGCGCGCCCCTCCAAACAACCTTAAAATACACACGCCACCCTTACCTACTGTGTGCTTAACCTCCCGCAACCATCTCGATCAACGGCTTGGCACTAGGAGCCGCAACGTGAAAATCCAGCAGCACTGCTCATAATACTTGAATCTCTCAGTGGCCTGACTTCTTCGACCGTAAATAGCCGCCCTTTGACCACTTTTGTCTGCATCATTCCGGGCCTTCGTCGGACTTGCCTCCACACGCTCTCCTGCAATGGACAGTGATAGAACCGTCAGCGCCGATGGGATGAGAAAATGACCGCTACTGGGAATGCGCAGGCCCATTGCGATAGCTCTGGTGGTTGGCAGTGGACACATGTGAGCAGGTCTAGCGACCGTGGGGAATGCGATACCCGGCATGACTGTCCTGTCAACGCGCACTGTGTGATGATGGCTAGGTAAGGTCTGATCAGATGTAGTCTTGAACTAGCCCAGAGAGCAGAACAACGAGCACCATAGATGTTGCTGCTGAGTAGTAGTAGTGGTAGTATGTAGTGGTAGTGTTTGCTGCCTACTCTGCCTGCGACGTGACTTTATAGACGAATCGCTCCCTGCACCAGCGATCTCACATACCCATGTACATGCAGCTGGGTCTGTTAGACTTGTAAACAAGCATTTATTTAGGTAAAACCCCAGCTTTCTCGGCGTTACTCATGACGTCGGTATGCGCCCAGTCATGCCCAGCTCACGTAAGTGATCTTGAAGAGCATTCGGTGGCAGAGGGAGAATTTCCGGGAGAGTTCACGCCTGGATTGGTGGGAGACAAGTCGGGTGGTTCGGAGATGGGCTGGAGATAAGATGCAAAGATTAGATGTAAAGATTAGATGCAAAGATTATATGTAAAGATTAGATGTAAAGATTAGATGCAAAGATTAGATGCAAAGATTAGATGCAAAGATAAGATAAGCCCTTTGCTTCGCTCCAGGCACCGACCGCCCGCCGTACAAGCAGCTAACCTTTTGGCTGCAGGGGTCCAACCACCTCAATGTCGCCCTACCAGTATGCACCGGTTGACAGGTGAAAGGCAGCCAGGGACGTCTGAACAGCCGGAAAACACAGCCATCACAACTGGTAGTTACTTGCCATGAGCTTTTGTCTCATGTATTGACACGCTTTCCCAATTGCTTGGAATCGCCCGAGCCCATCTTATAATCATTTTGCGTCCCAGGACGGACTGTACGACACGTTGCAACTTCTAGACGCCGCCGAGACATAACCACACACGCAACACAAGTACACTTCCACAAGGTACTGCAAAGTCGCAATACGCATCAGAGGAGCTCGTGCTACCTCGTTGAACTATGCGGGCTGCAGCCTCTTTGTTGAGCGCGAGGACTTTCCTTGCCCTCAGCACATACGCACACATTGCGGCTTCGGAAAGGCAAAGCATAAATGTTGCTTTGAGAGCTGCTTTCAACCCAGCACCCTATCTAGTAGAGTTATTGTAAGCTCTGCCATACTTGCATGGGCAAACAATGACTAACAGCTGGCAGGGAAACAGCCGCAGAAGAGAATGCAACCGCCTACTACCCAATCCTCGACCGCGTGTCGCAAGGATACTTTGACGACAAGAACACAGAGCAGGATCTCTACACAGCCTTTGTAGATTTACTCCGGAACGACGGCCACATTACAGAGCCCGAAGCCCTCGCCTCGTTCAATTTCGCCCTCTCAGTCCGTTCGGCTGCGCCTCGGATAGAAGCACATTACCAGTTCTACAAGACCTCTGTAGAGCCATCTTTGGCTGCCGAACAGACAACAGACTGTGAGCTATGGGTATCATTTCATGGAAAGCAGTACTGCTCGCCAACACTAGAGGAGCCACTGGGTGGCATCAAGAGCGAAAGGTCAGCGTACACAGCCAATCGTACAAGACGAGACACTGACTACGAGATAGAACCTATGAGCTGCCCTTCGACCGTATACTTGGAAACAGTTCGGCCCTTCCCGCCATTCTCTACGCCGATATCACGGCCCCTCGATTCAAGAAGTGGCACGAGACCCTGAGTGAGACAGCAAGACAAGGCAAGACGTCATATCGCATCCGCCACAAACCCTCGTCAAAGGCACCGCAGTCGCCACTGATTGTCAATGGCTACGGTGTCGAGTTACAGCTGAAGCGGACCGACTACATCGTTATCGACGACCGGCCAAAGGCAGAAGGAGACAACGTTGCAGACCAAAAGCCATTGGGTACAGTCCTAGATGAACAGGAAGAAATCACAGATCTGAAACCTTTATCCAAAGAAGAGGTAGCAGATCTTGGCCCGAAAGCTGCCAGTTTCGTCATGCAGAGCGAAGAACCAATGGACACGCTGCTGAGACTGGTCCAGGATTTCCCCAAATACTCCACCATCATTGCATCGCGCAACGCCTCTGAAAACTTCTTAAAGGAGCACTTTAACAACCGTGAGCTTCTTCTCCCAACAGGCTACAACATCATTTGGGTCAATGGTGTGCAGATCCCAGCCCGCGATGTGAACCCACATTCCCTCTTGGCGCATCTCAGGCGAGAACGAAAGCTTATCAATGGAATCCGTAACCAGGGACTCTCAGGCCCTGATACGATCTCACTTCTATCACATCAGGCTATTGCGGAGACCCAGACGGAAGATGAGCCGCAGCGCTATGACTTCCGCGATGCAGCTGAAGGTGGCAATGTGATCATCTACATGAACAATATTGAGAAGGACTCAAGATATGAGTCTTGGCCTACTGAGCTACGAGCTGTAAGAAAGCTGTTTTTGTGTATACCCAGACAGATGTTAACGGATTTTATAGCTGCTCCAAAGAACATATCCTGGCCAACTGCCATCTGTTCGTCGCGACATCCATAACGCTATTATGCCTGTCGATTTGACCTCTGCTGGTGAAGTCTCTATCATTCTGGACACGATGCTTAGCTTGATCAAGCGCGGCATTCCAGTTCGATGGGGTTTCGTCCCTCAGACCACGACTCCAGGTAGTCTGGATCAAGCCAAGGTCATTTACTATTTGCAGAATAGCTACGGCTTGTCCACTGTAATCAAGTATCTGACAGCGGTACGTCATAATCTTGAACCAACTACGGCTTTCAAACTAACGAACGATATCTGTAGTCAGTAAATGCCAAAAAGCTCGCTGCTCCGAACAAGACCATTTTTGACACAACTGTGAAAGGGGCTAAGCTGCGAAACGAGCGCGAGGCCCTGGAGCTGGCAGATGTCCTGACTTCAGAGGCTATACAGGCGCGCATAGATGCATCTAAACAATACCTCCACCGCCTGGCAGCAGACAAGTCAAATGCCCCGATGTTTGTCAATGGTGTCCCTATTCCGCTAACCGAAGATTGGCTTTCCATCCTTAGCCAGCGCATCGGACTGGACTTGCGTCAGATCCAGAAGGGTGTCTTTGAAAGCGTCATCAGCGAAAACAGCTGGGTACCTCAGCATTTCCTTTTCCAGGCCGCCACTAAACGTAATCCATTGATCATTCCCGAAGACGAGAAGAACATCCAGCTCATCAACATGGCTGAATTCGAGGAGTTGTATGGAAAAGCGTTAAGCAGCATGCCACGAGTTGCAGCAACAGATTTATCGAGCAAGAGCGAATGGGTCCACATTACACTTGTCGCAGACTTTGACTCGAAATCTGGTCTTGCATTGTTGAAGTCTGTAGCAGACTTCCGCGATACGAAACCCAATGCGGAGATCGTCCTGATCCACAATCCACAACCCGGCTCAATGCAGTCCAGTGCGTCGGAAACGCTTCTGGATGTATATGGTAATTTGGGTGGTGAAGTCACAAGCGAAGCACTATGGGCAGTGGCTAATGAGCCAGCCGATACAAGAGCCACCCGTGAGGAATCCAGGACACTCTGGAAAACTGTCGAGCCAATCTATGAAGCTTTGGGGCTTGCACCAGGTCAGCATGGCATCCTCGTTAATGGTCGGTTCATCGGTCCCATTCCCGAAGATCAAGTATTTTCACTAGGTGACGTCGAGACTCTCGTGACATACGAAATGGCGAAGCGCATTCAACCTTTGAGCAAAGCTATTGAAGATCTAGGCTTGGCTCAGAAGCTGAAGACTCCTTTTGAAGTAGCCAAGATTCAGTCCCTCGTTGCGCTTTCGACGGTGTCTGATGTTCCAGAGGGCATATTCGAAACAGTATCTACTTTGAGAATCAGTACTTTCAACAACTGGGCTTCCGAGCACACTGCCATCACCAAAGGTGATCAAGACAAGGCTGTCTTCCAGATCGTAGCTTCAATCGATCCAGCTTCGGAGCTGGCACAGAAGTGGGTGCCGATATTGAACACGCTGAGCGACATGGATGGTGTCCAGCTCAAGCTTTTCCTCAACCCGAGACAATCCATGCAAGAGCTTCCCGTCAAACGATTCTATAGGTACATTCTTGGCGCTCGCCCTCACTTCAATGCGGATGGGTCGGTAGGTCATCTGAAAGCGCAATTTTCTGGCATTCCCAAAGACGCATTATTGAACCTGGGTATGGACGTGTCACCCTCCTGGCTTGTTGCACCTGAAGAATCCATTCACGATCTGGACAACATCAAACTCAGCTCACTCCCAGCTCGAACCAATATTGATGCCATCTATGGACTAGAAAGTATCTTGATTGAGGGTCACTCTCGTGACACTACAAACGGTGGAGAGCCACCTCGTGGAGCTGAAGTCGTCCTTTCCACCGAGAAAGATCCTCATTTTGCAGACACTATTATCATGGCCAATCTTGGCTACTTCCAATTCAAGGCTAACCCGGGTTTCTACAATATTCAACTCAAATCTGGCCGCTCCCGCGAAATCTTCAATCTCGACAGCGCTGGCACGAAATCGTACGCTGCACAGCCCGGCGATGAAACCACTGAGATTGTCTTGATGAGTTTCCAGGGTGCCACCATTTTTCCCCGACTGTCCCGCAAGCCTGGGCAGGAAACAGCTGATATATTGGCTTCCGAGGAGTCTCTGACCTCTGAACTCGTTGGCAAAGGGACACATAAGGTTAATAAACTGCTTGGGAAAATCGGGCTAAACTTCAATTCCGAGAAGGTCTTACAAAAAGGCGCCGAACTCCTGTCTGGCGGCAAATCAGGGAAGAAGGGCACCCAGGCCGACATCAACATCTTTTCCGTTGCCTCGGGCCACCTTTACGAACGCATGCTCAACATCATGATGCTGTCTGTCATGAAGCATACCAAACACACGGTCAAATTCTGGTTCATTGAGCAATTCCTTTCGCCCAGCTTCAAATCCTTCCTCCCCCACATGGCATCGACCTACGGTTTCGAATACGAAATGGTAACCTACAAATGGCCACACTGGTTGCGTGGCCAGACGGAAAAACAACGTGAGATCTGGGGCTACAAGATCCTCTTCCTCGATGTCCTCTTCCCGCTCGATCTGGAAAAAGTAATCTTCGTGGACGCGGACCAGATCGTGCGCACAGACATGTACGAGCTCATCACGCACGACCTCGAGGGCGCCCCCTACGGCTTCACCCCCATGGGCGACTCGCGCACCGAAATGGAAGGCTTCCGCTTCTGGAAAACCGGATATTGGGCCAACTTCCTCCGCGGCAAACCTTACCACATCTCGGCACTCTACGTCGTCGACCTCGTCCGCTTCCGCCAACTCGCCGCCGGCGACCGCCTCCGCCAACAATACCACCAGCTCTCGGCCGACCCAAACAGCCTCAGCAACCTCGACCAGGATCTCCCCAACAACATGCAATTCCAGCTGCCCATCCACAGCCTGCCCAAGGAATGGCTCTGGTGCGAAACCTGGTGCAGCGACGAGGATCTCGCAACCGCAAAGACGATTGACTTGTGCAATAACCCGCAGACCAAGGAACCCAAGCTCGATCGCGCGAGGCGCCAGGTGCCCGAGTGGACGGTGTATGATGAGGAGATTGCGGCGTTGGCGAAAAAGGTCAAGGGTGAGGCGGGGGTCAAGGCGGTCGAGGTGGATATCCAGGAGGAGGAGCAGAGGCGCGAGAAGAGAGAAAAGGATGAGGAGAGGAAGAGGGATGAGTTGTGATGGATTGCGTTGTAGATGTAAGATCTGGGGAGGCTTGGTGCCACCGGGTCTTTTCCCTTTTTTTTGGAGCAAGACAATGCCATGTGTGTATTGTAGAAAAGTAGGTTTATTTTCCAGCAAGCAAGTTTGGGTTTTTTTGGTCTTGCTAAAGTATATTCATGTATACATGGCCTTGTAGCTAGATCAAATGAAACTGATCCTGTTACTACCCCACCGCATTCTATTATGGAATTTGAGTTTGATCAAGGCTCTGCCTGTTCACTTTGGCTTTATCCTCACTCTCGTGCGATGTTGGATGTGCAATCTTGTTTTATGAGAAAAGGTGATAACAACGGGAAATAGAAGCGCAGAGAAGCAGAGGGAGAAAGAGTGAGAGAAAAGAGAAGAAGGGGACAAAAGAGAAACAAGGCAACGAGAGAAACCAGCCAGCCATATCAAAATCGTTAGAATTATCAAACTCTCCAACAGATATCCCCGGAAAAAAAAAGTTTTCCATCTGCCAGAATACCTACAACAGTATACTGACTGATTCAGCATCCATCTGACAAGCCCAACCCAACTAAACATGTCAAAAACATCACGCCTTAATCTGCCCTGCCTATTCATTCCTCTTGGAAAAAAGACAGCATCATCGCACATCCTCCCTGCTTTTCCTTTCCCCCTCCTACCCACACACCTAGAAGTCCGCCTTCCCACCCATAACCTTGGCCGCACTCACCGCGTTCATCTTGGCCGCCCAGCCAGGCGCGGGCACAATCTTACGTACGGTGCGCACCTCATCCGACGCATAGCCCGCAATACGGATATTGTAGTTGCGTTCGAGGACGACCTGGATGTCGCGGATGTCGAGCTGGGCCGACTCGCGCAGTTTGCTGAGTTTGCAGGCCGAGGAGATGACGTTGTCGACAAAGTCGTCTGCGAGTTGGAGGACCGCCTGGGGGTGCATGTTAGCATGGGAAGACTGTTGGGGGGGGATTGAGGAATGAGATGCATGAAAACTGGAAATGGGGAATACGAACTTCTTCAACTTCGGACGTCAATGCTTCCTCACCTCCTCCTGTAACCTGCCTCACAAGCTCGTCCAACTTGCGTTTACTCAACACCCTATCGCCCTCGCCCTCGAGCTGGAATGGTGGCGGGCGCGGAATAACCGGTTGTCCCATGGGCCCTGGTGCTCCATTCGTGGGTCCGACCATGGTAGGACGCGCCTGGCCCATATGCACTGCCGACGGCGAGGTGACGTTCAAGTGTCGCGGAATCGGCATCTTGGGATTGTTCATTTGCTCGCGCTCGCGGCTACCAAAGTTGCCTGGGCCACCTTGCTGCATGGGAGTGTTTGTGCGCTGGGGATCGGTGTAGGAGCGGTTTGCGGCGCTAACAGCGGCTTGGTGGGAGAGCGTTGGGGGGAGGGGCGCGCCTGTGGTTGTGGACTGCGGGTGTGGAGAGTTGCTTTGTGGATGGTGTGCGCTGGCTTGCATGGGATTAATTTGCGGACGCTGTTGCTGCTGGAAGTTTGGTTGCGGTTGGCCGGGCTGGGTGAATTGCGGGACCTGGTTTGGTGGCATGGATTGGGAGTGAGGGCCCGGAGGACGGTTTTGCTGCTGCTGCTGCTGCTGCTGCATTTGCTGTTGCTGTTGCTGCGCTTGCTGTTGCTGTTGCTGTTGCTGTTGCTGTTGCTGGGCCATTCCCTTTGACATTTGCTGGTTCTGTGGCGCCTGTGCTTGTGGCGGGACTTGCTGCAGATTGAACTGTGGTGCAGATTGCGCTTGTGTTTGTGGTGCCTGTCCGCCTTCAACCTTGATTTGCGGCTCCTCTTTGATCTGCGCCTGCATTTGAATATTTGGCTGGGATGGCTGGCGCTGAGGCTGCTGTTGCTGTTGTTGTGCCTGCTGCGCTTGTTGCTGGGGTGAAGGTGTCGGGATCTGACCCTGAGGTTGCTGCGATGACTGCCCCTGCCCTTTCGTTTGTTCGCGCTCGTCCTTCCATGTCTTTTGCAGTCTTCGAAATTTGTCAAGTTGGTCCTTCATCTCCGCATGATTCTTTTCGATGCGCGCCTTCAGGTTGACAAGATCCTGGGGTACTTCTTGCCCGGCACTCTGCCGCTCCTGCATCTGGACTAGAACCTTCCGTCGGTGTTCTGCATACCCGGCCTGCTTGACCAACATGTTGAGATAGCCATTCCTATATTCTTTGAGCTTGGCGTCATATTCGGGAGTTCCGGGAGGCGGCGCATTCGGAGGTAATTGGATCGGGAATTCGTGAACGTGTTTGATGATGGCGGGGTCAATGGTGGGTTGGGCTCGCGGTTGGCCTGAGTTGGGGCCCTGTTGACCTTGAGGCTGCTGGGGTGCAGCAGTGTTCTGCGCCTGCGGGGCCTCCTGCTTGATAGGGTTCTGGTTCTGGTTCTGTGGTTGATTTTGAGTGTTCTGCGCCTGTGTCTGGGGCTGAGATGTGGCCGCATTGCCTTGATTGGCGTGACTGGCTTGACCCTGGCTGCCCTGTTGCTGCTGTTGCTGCTGCTGTTGCTGCTGCTGTTGCTGCTGCTGCTGTTGTTGCTGCTGCTTCATCTTCACCCTGTGTTGACGTTCGCGCGAAATGAATCTCGACGACCACTCAGCCAGCTTCTGTTTCGCCGAGACATGCTCCGTGCTGCCAACCGGGTGCTGGTTCAACAGCGTCCAGAAGTTCTGAATCACCAGCCGGTACTTTTGTTTCTCGTCGTCAGGCAGACTATGCAGCTTGAGTATATCATCGGCGCGGAGGAGATGTGTTTGCTGTGCCTGCTGTTGGCTGCCCTGAGTTTGGGATTGGGCCTGCGAGTCGGCCATTGTCGAGGTCGATGCAAACTCCCGTGCCGCGAAGATGTCTGACGAACGATGAGAGGTGGACAATGACCTAGTCTATAAGCGATGTGTGTTACTGCGCGTCTATTGAGGGTGGTTAAGAGTTGTCGTGCAGCAGAACAGGTCAAGTGAGGGAAATGAGGTAGGCTACAGTCTCGAGGTTAGGAAGCGTGGTGGTGGAGGCGTACTGGTACCGAACATTAGCCAAGCCAAGCCTGAAGTCGCGACAACACGTGCATCCAACCACATCACCAACTGTTAGAGACCTGACATACGGTACCTACCTACGCACAACGTCCATGTATCGTCTTCATATTACTACACTACCACTGCCATACTCTCACCAATTCAGCTTACAACAGAAGCCCTTGGTCCCTTTCTATTCCCCTCTTCCTCCCCACTGCGCACCAGTGCCCTTTCCCTCGTATTTCTGACCTCCCACTCAAACTCCTTCAACGCCCTCATTTCACTTCCCACGAACAAAAACCCCATCAGCCCATCAATAACCCCCAGGCTCATTCCAAACGTACTGAGAAACATGAGTATAAACGACACATAGTTGTGCGGGGACCACCACACGCCAATCATACAGCCAATGGTCAGCGCGAGTTGATAGAAGAAGTGACCTATCCGTAGCTTGCGCTGCACGCGCTCGCGTACTTGATATTTGAGTGTTGTGGCTAGAATTTCATCGTATATCGATATGGGAAGGTAGCGCTCTGGTGGGTCTAATACGTTACTTCGATCAGTCGTGGACGATGCATATGGTGTATTCCGTGTCAATGTTGCTTCGACGGAGAAATGATCACTGAGGGAACAGTGTAGCGTCGGATGACGCATTTCCATGCCAACATTTGCCTCCTTGAGCTCCCAGTCGGCTGCCTCGTTGCCAGTCCCTCCATCACGGTATCGTGGACTGCTGAAGAAGATGTAATCGAGGCGTTTTGCGTCGGGGTCGGGGACGGTAGGTTCTATCTGCACGTTTTCGCCCCTTGCAAGACGGCGCTTGTGCGCCTGATTCCACCGCCAGGAGTTGAGCGCGCTATCGCATGTTGCACCGTTGATGGTCATGTTGTACTCTGCAGTCGGCATCGGACGTTCGCGGGCTTGTTCGACGGCATCTTTGGCTGCACCGATGGATGAGTCGGGGTGTAGGATCCGCCATACGTCCTTGACGGGAGAATGTGTCTCTATGATGCGATGGGCGAGGGACAAGGGCACCATGTTGAAGTCTCCAAGACCGATGACGAGGTGCCCACGCTCGGCGGCTGCACGCATGAGTTTTGTTATCTCCCATGCCTGGGCAGTGCGGTGGCAGATGTACGAGTCGTGAGGTTCGCGTTCATAGGGGGCGTGGAGCTGACACGGTCAATCCATTGCACTCACTTGTACAGTCAGACATGGAAATGGTAGTTGCATACATGGGTACAGAAGACTTCGGCCACGTCTCTCCGTGAAGGTCCCATCCGTATCCTTGCACATGCGACGCCCTTGCCCACAAACCAGTCTCCTCGGTAGAAGGCAGCAGGGCGTCCGTTGAGAGGATAGCGGACCATGTTGCTCTCCTCAATTGGCCATTTTGAGAGAATAGCCAATCCACCACCAAATATGCCGCTCCAGTAGAACTTGCCATAGGGAAGAATGTGATGTGTCTTCTCTCTTATCGCATTGTAGTCTTCTTGTGTCCAGCACTCTTGCAGCCCAACAATGTCTGGCGTAGGCTTCGCCGCGGCGATCTGGACCCCGATTTCCGTGAGACGCTCATGCCGAAGTTTGGATATGAACTTGAGGCCCCAGCAATTGAGCGTCAGGATGCGCAAGCTCGAAGGCGGGGACCTGGCGTCTGAGGCCATTTGGGAGATATATAGGTACAACCCAGTCCGAGAACAAGAAAAGTATTTGGTTGGTTGGCTCGGGCGATGATGCAACCTAACTCAGGTACGGTGAGTGTTGCAGGGATGTCCTTCACCGCCTACGCAACGACATGGCAGTACTGTCGCGTTCGCGACTCACCGGTCAACTTTCTTAACAAAGTCATAACCAAACAAAACTCTACAAACTGCACATCATATCAACAAACCCGAAAAATAAAAAGTAAAACAGGAGTTGTACAATGCAGGATTCGCGTCTTGCCTCACCAAAACGCCGACGAGACGACCAAGACGATTATGAAGATGGGCCGCCCCGCAAACGCTCCGCATCCCACACTCCACCACCCACCTCTCCCAGCTACCGCATCGCCGAACGCCCTGCACGCCGCTACAGCAGAAATGAGAGCGACGATGAACGATACTACCACGACCGACGGCAGCAATCCACCTCTCGCTCTCCCTCGCGCTCCGCTTCCCCCCCACCAAAGCCCACCTCTCTCCACTACGTGCCCAAACTCGTCCTCCACGGCCACAAAAAGGGCATATCTTGTCTAAAGTTTTCCCCGGACGGAACACGCATTGCCAGCGCCAGTGCCGACTGCACCATAAAAATATGGTCCTACCCGTCCGGCAGCCTCGAACACACGCTAGAAGGCCACCTCGCGGGCATCAACACGCTGTCCTGGTCGCCCGACTCCAAAATCCTAGCCTCGGGCTCCGACGACAAAAGCATACGTCTCTGGGACACGACCACGGGTCTTGCCCATCCTACCCCCTTCATCGGCCATCACAACTACGTCTACTCGATTGCCTTTAGTCCAAAGGGCAACATGCTCGTCTCCGGTTCCTACGACGAAGCAGTCTACGTCTGGGACGTGCGCGCCGCTCGCGTCATGCGCTCCCTACCTGCGCACTCGGACCCCGTCGGCGGCGTCGACTTTGTCCGCGACGGCACCCTCATCGTCTCGTGTTCGCACGACGGCCTCATTCGCGTCTGGGACACGGCAACCGGCCAGTGTCTGCGCACACTGGTCCACGAGGACAACAAGGCGGTCACGAGCGTGATTTTCAGCCCCAATGGCCGCTACGTCCTCGCCTGGACGCTGGACGGCTGCATCCGTCTGTGGGATTATGTCGAGGGCAAGGGCAAATGCGTAAAGACGTACCAAGGACACGTCAACGCGCGATACTCACTCAGCGGCGCATTCGGCACCTACGGGGCCAGTAGCACTTCAAACCGCCGTGCAGGCAGCAGAAACGGGTCGGCAAAACCAGCAGAATACGCATTCATTGCCTCGGGCAGCGAGGACGGCGAAGTCGTGATTTGGGATGTTAGCTCCAAGAATATTTTACAGAGACTGGATGGCCATGATGGCGCCGTGTTGAGTGTGGATACGCATCCGACGGATAAAATGCTGGTGAGCGCGGGTTTGGATGGCGTGGTTAGATTGTGGGAACTTGGAAGGGAGGGGGTGGGTGGGCATCGAGATGAGGGCCGTGGACATGATCAAGAGGCCCGTACAGATGGCCCTGACGACGAGGCCCGCACAAACGGCCATGACAAGGATGCCCACACAAATGGCCATGAGGGTCTCCATACCAACGACCACGCAAATACCCCTGATGACCCCAGTCACAGCCCGCAAATCAGTCACAGAACAAAAGGAGATGCCACGCGTACATTCGATCCCGACATTCTGCCTCCGAATCCCTTCATGCAGAATTAGAAGGGATGAGGAATTCTTAGAGTTGGCAGTGTAGAGTCGCGGTGTAGATTTGGGGAGCGGACAAGGAAGGGGGAGTTGGGGAGCGGACAAGGAAGGGGGAGTTGGGAAGTCTGTGTGTAGTGTGTGGTTGTTGTCGGTTGTGGTGTAAGATAGACCAGGTCAGGACGGGATGGAATAGATACCCCATGAAACACGCGCTCAACATTCTTCCCGCCTTGAGAAAACAAAACGAAGAAGAAGAGGAAAGAACAGCGAGAGCGAATTGGGAACAAACTGATTAATTATGATTAAATACCATAAATGGTGTGAAATTTTCTGCTCGCAGCGCGGGACAGGGAGGGTAGTAGCCACAAGCACTGCCATCAACATGCTCAAGTTCCAGTACCACCAGCAGCACCAGCAACACGAGGACCATCCAGTATGCCCGCACTAGCCTGCGTCTCCAACGCAATCTTCATCTCCAGCCAGCTATAAAAACTCGGGCTCGTACAAAAGGCTTCATACATTGCATCTCTCGCTCTATGTCTGTGAATCGGATTGCTGCCGCGGAACTTGACGCTCGTGCCGTGTTTACTGACGCTGGCCAGGAAATCCGGAATGTGGAAACTGGCATAGGTTTTGGTGCCGGCTGGTGAGACGACGCTGGACGTGGCAAGATAGCGATTTATCGGCGCGACGAATTGGGCGGTGAGTTCGGCAAAGTGGCGACGGATGAGGGGCCCGAGGTCGCGCGTTTGATCGCCGAGTTTGAGGGAGAGTTCGATTTGAGAGAGGAGTGCAGAGTCGGATTTGAGGAAGCGTTTGGAGGGGGTATGGACTTCTATGCCGCCTCCTGGAAGGTCTAACAGTGCATTTCGACTGCTCTTGTGGTGGAGGGAGTGGTGACGGCGGGTGGGGACAGGCCCATCGAAGTTTTGAAGATAGAGAATGTGCGGTCGGGCTTTATGACTGCTTTCGGCGGCGGCGACGATGCGTTTGAGAAGAAATGGATTGGTGATGCCGATGAGGAATGCGCGTGGTGTGCCGCCGTCGATGCCGATGCTTTTGAAGTTGGCTTGCATGGTCATGTACGGTTTCACAACTCCGGCGTAGGGGACGGGGCAGATGAGATCGACGAGTGAGGACACGGCTTCACTTGCTAGTTGGGGAGATTTGGCAACCACAATGATACTTTCGCAGAGGATGAGCTTCTCGAATAGGACGTAGAGGTCGGTGATGCAGGGCATGTAGTGCATTATATTGTCCCAGGAGCCAATTGGTTCGTAAGCATATACTGAAGACGGTGTGTCTGATATTAGAGGTGTAGGGCCTGGGAGCCCTTGGAGGGGAAAGGACGGATGGGGCGCGATGTCAAGTGTGAGCATTTTGCCCAGAAACGGGAGATGATGGCGTCCCAGATGCGGTGGTTCCCAGGCGCCCATCTGTGTGAAAGCTGCTTCCAGTGTTGCGGGGTCACTGATGACACCAGATTCGGTCATGCGTTGTAGTATCTGGTGGTAGAATGCCGGAAAGTTGTGATGAGATACCATGACCAGTGTTCTCTGGTTGAAGCTCCTTTTCATGGTGTCGTCGAACTCTTGACGGAAGACACAGGAGCCATAGAAAGTGTCTGCGCTGCCATGAGGTGTGTTTGGAGAAGTGAGTCTGATGTCGGGAGAATTGTTAGAGATTGCGAAGTTGAAAGACAAGTCTTCGGCCGTCTCCGTGTTTTGTTGCTCGGGAAAGCTAGAGATGGATCAGAATGGCATCAGGCGAAAGGTACCATGGATCAGACGGTACCCACCTGTTGAAACATATGGCACTCAGGTCTGCTGTGGTGAAAGGGACGTTTGGTGGGTATAATATCTCGATTTCTGGGCTGCGAACTACACTTAGGATCATGGCACGAACAAAGCAAGAGCGCTCCTTACCTACCCTACATCGACGTTGAAGTTGCAAACTATGCTGCGCTCGTCAGCTTTGGCGATACCATCACAGAATCGACATACAAAGCCACGGCCCAGTGTTGGAAGCCACCAGCGTTGAAGTTGATTAGATCTTGGGCTCTGGACCTCTCCATGATGTGGTCGATGCCCTCCTTCTTCTCCTGCCGAGAGTGGCGACGGGCCTGGAAGAGTTTGTTCTTGATTTTCTCCATTTGGTTTTCCCTGGAAAAGAAGCACCTGACAGGGACAGATGAACAAACGATACGAAGCGTCAGGCCAGTAGAGAGTCGAGAGTGGGTGCCCAGGCTGTATTGCTAAGATGGCACAGCTGCTGTGGCTTGGAGGGAGGACAAGACGCGAAACTTAGCGTGCGTGCGAGCTGTCACTCGCAACTCCCCATGGTAAGTTGGGCAGTTAGTTACCGTAGGCTGCGGGGATTGATTGAAGCCCAAGCCGTGTTTTGGATCATTTCTTTTCCACAGAGGCCAACTTCTTGAGTTTTCTCGAGAGGGTTTTTTTATGGGGGGCGGGGGAGGGAAAGACGCTTTCGGAAAGAGAATGTTTGTTGTGTAGGCGGTGGCGGAGGTGTATTGTACTCCAAGTCACTCTAGGAGCGGGTTAGGGTGTGCATGTGGGTGGGTGTACAGGGATGTTGCGTGCGGGAAGGTGCGATGACGTTGTTCCAGTTAGGTAGGCACGGTAGTCTACGGTACCGATAGAAGACTGGCGGTGCGGCTTCAGTCGTGTTCGTGTGAGGAAACAAGCCCCTGGGAACAACAACCAACGATCTTCTCGTGCCCTTGAGGAACCTGCCAGCCATTCTTCACCCATCACTCATAGAGAACAAAAAAAATACAGCATGCCCTCCAGTAGCCTCGCCAGTAGCCCGTTGTCCAACATGTAAAGAAAAGACAGCTACTCGCTTCTTCAACAGTACCCCCCACCATGGACCCCAACATCACCAAGGCGCTGAACGATAAGCTCTACGACAAGCGCAAGAGCGGAGCCCTCGAGCTCGAAGGCCTCATACGTGATGCACTCGCCGCCGAGGACCACGACCGGATAGCCAAGATTGTGCACCAGCTCTGTCACGACTATGCCTATGCCGTCCATCAGCCGCACGCCAGGAATGGCGGCCTCATTGGCCTTGCGGCCGCTTCGATAGCCTTGGGGCCTGTAGGTTGCAGACAAGTGGTTGGCCGAAAGATGCAAACTGCTAAGTAATGTCATGTAGGAAGTCGCTCGCTACCTCGACGAAATAGTCCCTCCGGTGCTCGCGTGCTTTGGCGACCAAGATGCACGTGTCAGGTACTATGCCTGCGAGTCCATGTACAATATTGCAAAGGTCGCCAAGGGCGAGATACTCGTCTACTTCAACTCTGTATTCGATGCGCTCTGCAAGGTGAGGGGACACGTCACATGGCCAATCTGTCTAATCCAAGGACGATGCTAATTTGGCCTGGGCTGTGCAGATGGCAGCAGATAGTGAACTGTCCGTCAAGAATGGAGCTGAACTGCTGGACCGCCTGATCAAAGACATCGTCGCAGAGTCCGCCGCCACCTATGTCTCTGTCCTACATGCCCCAGTCGACCATGCAGAGCCGCCCGCTACAGATGATCCCGACCAACCACCGTACGATGTACCCACCGCTTTCAACCTGGAGCGATTTCTGCCCCTCCTCGAAGAACGCATCAACGTCATCAACCCATTTACACGAGTCTTCCTGGTCTCATGGATTACCCTGCTAGACTCTATACCAGATCTCGAGCTCATCGCTCACCTTCCGCGCTTCCTCGGTGGTCTGTTCAAGTTCCTGAGCGACTCCAACCAGGATGTGTACACCATGGCCCAGGCGGCGCTCGACAGGTTCCTGGCAGAGATTAAGAAGATTGCGAGGGTCAAAAAGGGTATCGCAGAGAGCAAGAAGAGTCATGGCAAGGAGGAGCGACGGCATTCCCTCTCGAGTGTGCGTAGTGCGGCAGTCGAGAGCGAGGCCACAGACAGCATGCAACTTGAGCCACTAGATCCTGTAGACGACAGGGGCGTAGCTAGTGGATACAGTGACTCGATTTCGGGTGATAGCGAAAAGTCTGTCAATGGAGATGGGAATTGGGTGCCAGGCCAAGACGTTCATGTAGATCACCCAAAGATCTTGACCATACTGGTCGACTTTCTAGTCGCTCCGGCAGGTGGGTAAGCTGCAGCCTGTCCCAGCACACTAAAGCTCACATTGACAGATCCAAATGACGAACAAACCGAAATTTTGCTCACTGCCTTACGATGGATCGACAGCTTCTTTGAGATCTGCCCAGAGGACATTATGCCGTTTGTTCCAAGCCTGTTGTCGCATGTGCTGCCACGCATGTCACACGAGGTGGACAGCGTTCGCAAGGCGGCTGTCAAAGTGAATGCGTCTTTGATGGACTATATTTTGTCCTTGTCTGACGACAGTCGAACTTCAGATGGCAGCTCAGGTGGTCAGATTCAACTGCCACCTTCACTGTCTGAGCTTGGCAAGGAGCTCACAGGAACACAACGGCGCGACTCCAACTTGTCTGGGCGGTTACTCAAAGCAGTCATACGAGATCAAGCAAGCAGAGTTGAGTCACCAGAAGTCAGAGAAACGCGTTCATCGACACCGGCTGAAGACCGCGGCCCATCACCACGTCCAATACCAGAGCTCGACTATCAAGCCGCTGTCAGTGCGCTTACGTTGCAGTTCTTGAACGAGCACGAGGCCACACGTGTTGCAGCCATAGCTTGGCTTATAATGCTGCATCGCATGGCGCCTGGCAAGGTCAGTCAAGCAGAGCTCGGTGCATGACATGCCGCTAATGGACCAACAGATACTCACAGTCGATGACGGAACATTTCCCGCATTGCTTAAGACGCTCTCGGACCCTTCAGATGCCGTTGTCACTCGCGACTTGCTTCTTCTGTCTCAAATCTCCCTGCACAGTGATGACACATACTTCACCTCGTTCATGGTTAATCTCCTGAAGCTTTTTTGCACGGACCGTCGATTACTCGAGACCCGGGGAAATCTCATTATCCGACAGCTATGTTTGACCCTCAGTGCTGAAAGGATATATCGAACCATGGCGGACTGCCTGGCTAAAGACGAGGATGTCGAGTTCGCGAGCATAATGGTTCAGAATCTCAACAACAACCTCATCACCGCGCCTGAGCTAGCAGATTTGCGAAGACGACTTAGGAACCTCGACAGCAAGGTAAGTGTGTTTCCAGGCAGCATTATATACAATCGCTAATAGGATCAGGATGGTCAATCATTTTTCGTCACGCTCTTCAAAGCATGGTGTCACAACGCTGTGGCTACGTTCTCACTGTGCCTCCTTGCCCAAGCCTACGAACAGGCATATCATCTGCTTCAAGTATTGTATGTTTTAGGCACCTTCCTAATAAATTGCTCTAACAACTCTGTAGTGCCGACCTCGAGATGACAGTCAACATGCTCATTCAAATTGACAAGCTCGTCCAACTGCTAGAATCACCCGTTTTTACTTGCAAGTCTGCTCTCGTACAATCCCATTATCACTGTCTAACCAACTCTAGATTTACGCATGCAGCTTCTCGAGCCAGAAAAGTACTCGCATCTCTACAAGTGCATGTACGGCCTGCTCATGCTCCTCCCGCAATCCTCGGCCTTCGCGGCGCTTAAGAATCGCCTCAACAGTGTCTCCGCAATCGGCTATCTGCACATCGCGCCGCGCTCGAGCACGTATGTTCCCACTTCCTCTCCTACATTAAATCACTTGCGACAAAAGAGCTCAGATGTTGGAACCCCTAGTGTCCCCTCCGGCCCCTCTGGCGTCTCCAACTTCGAACGGCCGAACCGGCTTAGACCGAAAGAGGAAGGTGCTGTGAAGTGGACAGAGCTGCTTGACCGGTTCAAGGCGACGCAAGAAAAAGCGAGGCGGAGTCAGAGAATGGCGAGCATGGGCGAGGACTTGCCGGAAACAATGCCGGAGACTGAACGTATGGGGCCACCGCCACCAGTGCAAAATAGAAATCTGGGGCTCAGGCCGAGTAGTCCAGCAGGAGGGTCGAGGTTACCTCCTGTGCCAGTACAGAACCCTGTTGTACCCGGACATAAGTCGAGGTCGAGCCTAAGCAATCTTGGGCGGTTCGCTGGTGGTGTTGCAGGGCGAAATAAGAAGAAGTGACATGTTTACACTTTGGTGTTTGTTTGGTTGATGGATTGGTGGAGGTAGACAGAGACTGCATTCCGGGCGTCCTGGTTTGGTGGATTTTTGGCATGACCGTATGACGATAATGCAGCATGCATGGCTGGCGTCCATTGATATTTCAATCCAATCCCAAGCGGGTGTTATTTCAACGATGCTTTCCTTTTCTAAATCTTACCCCGTCAACCTCGTCGCCCTTGCCTTTGCCGCCCACATCTACACGCTCCGCCTCTGCATTCTTTGCCCCACCAACCCTCCAAGTCTGGACAATCTCCTTGATCTCCGGCTTCCGCCTCTCCACAAGTTTTGCCTCTTTCACTTTCCTCACATAACCCCCATACACGGCAACCTCGGCGACTGCAATAGCCAAACTACCTCCCATTGCCAGACCCAACCGTTTCCCAATACTCCAGTGGCGGGCTGCAACCCACAGGAAGACGGAGACGGCGACGATGGAGACGAGGATGTTGATGATGAGGATGATTTGGCGGTGGACTTCTTCGTAGGTGATTTCGTCGTCGAGGGAGGAAGGCGGAATGTGGGTTGTAAAAGGCGAGGGGGCGGCGGGGAACCGCTGGGAGAAGCTTTCTCGTGTCGGCGGGTTGAGGAGGCGCGAGTAGGAGAGGGCTTCTTGGTCGCGGCGCAGACGGGCCATCAAGGCGGTGTATTCGGGAGTCGGAGCGGGCTTTGGGGCGGGGGGTGGTGTGTAGATGGTTGTTGAGTGGAGGAGGGAGGCGAGCGTGGCAGGTGGCGGGAGGGGGGTGTCGTTATTCGAGACGTCTTGGCCTTGTTCGGATGGAGTGTCTGGGCGCGGTGTCGAGTGTTGTTTGAGGAGCTTGGAGAGGGCGATGAGTTGTGTATGCGAGACTGCGTCTCCCAGTTTGGCCTGTGAGAGGCTGGGCTCGTCATTGTGTTGGAGTTTCGCAAAGTGATCGGGGTATGTGTTGGACGCGCTTTCGAGGGCTCGGAGTATACCGGGTGTGATTGTGAGCAGCACCATATTCACGCGATATCGCCGCGGTTGTTGGTGTTCACGGCAAGGAGGATGGTCGTAGTCGCGCCCCCGGAAGTAAGCGATGGCGAGAACGAAATCAAGGCCCACGACCAGGATGTCTCATGGAAGACTGGCTAGCGCGTCATGATTATCCAAAAACTCCACTTCAAGTCCAGGTCCACGATTGCAACGCCTGCAGCCACGCCTCGCACGCCTTTTTAATCCCGGCAAACGGTCCAATTGCTACCTCGCTTTCTGACTGCGAGGGCGAAATCCGGAAAACCCCCATCCATGACGAGCCGATCTTGCCGGCTCGCAGTGACGAGCATCGCGCAGCAAACATCTGCACCGTTATCCAAGTCGACATGTCCACATTCTAGCGCTGCTGGACTGCTACGCCCACAAAGAAGAGTAAAAAACCTGCCTCCCGTTTCCTCGATATGCTCGCACCACCCCTCACGGCGGCGACAGCAGTCCTCGTGGGCGGCCGCAGTGAATGTCGCGCAAAATGTCATGAGCAGTCCGCCACCGGACGCTCCCATCAAAATGGACCCGTTCCAGACGGTAGCACGGGAGATGAAGTTCTTGACGGGGAACATACGACAATTGCTCGGCTCGGGCCATCCAACTCTGGATACGGTGGCAAAGTACTACACGCAGAGTGAGGGGAAATACGTGCGGCCCATGCTCGTCCTCCTCATGAGCCGGGCAACAGCGTTGACGCCTCGAGGTCCGAGTTCAAGAGCCGGACGGATACCAAGTGTAGACGCCTCCATCAGCCACCCGACCATTCTCGCAGACGAAAACCCAGCACGGCCATGCTCGTCCGTCCGGGACGACGCCGCCTACACGACTGCGGACAGCGACATCCTCCCCTCGCAACGCCGCCTCGCTGAAATCACAGAACTCATCCACACCGCCTCCCTCCTCCATGACGACGTAATCGACCACTCGGTCTCGCGCCGGTCCGCGCCCAGCGCAAACATTGAATTCGGCAACAAAATGGCCGTCCTCGCCGGCGACTTCTTGCTCGGCCGCGCCTCGGTCGCGCTCGCCCGTCTGCGCGACCCCGAGGTGACGGAGCTGCTGGCGACGGTGATTGCAAACCTGGTCGAGGGCGAGTTCATGCAACTCAAGAACACGGCGCGGGACGAGACGAATCCACAGTGGACCGAGGAGACGGTGTCGTACTATCTCCAAAAGACGTATCTCAAGTCGGCCTCGCTGATTAGCAAGTCGTGTCGGGCGGCGGCCATTTTGGGCGGCAGCAGCGACGACGTGGTCGAGGCGAGTTATTTGTACGGCAAGAATCTCGGCCTGGCCTTTCAGCTCGTCGACGATATGCTCGATTACACCGTCTCGGGCGAGGAGTTGGGGAAGCCGGCGGGGGCGGATTTGGAGCTCGGGCTTGCGACTGCGCCGTTGCTGTTTGCGTGGAAGGAGGATGAGAGTTTGGGGCGGTTGGTGGGGAGGAAGTTTTCGGGTGAGGGGGATGTTCAGAGGGTGAGTAATTTTTTGTCTTTCTTCCTTCCTTTTCCTCTTCCCATTTCCCTCATCATCTCATCTCTCAACTCCCTCCTCCCAAAACCCCCTCCCTTTCTCCCCCACTCCCCTAACCACAACCACAACCCCACTAACCCCACCCCAAACAGGCCCGCGACATCGTATCCCAAAGCTCCGGCCTCGAGCAAACCCGGGCGCTAGCACAGGAATACGTCGACAAGGCCATTGCCGCAATCTCCTTCTTCCCAGACTCAGAGGCCAAGCAGGGGCTCGTGGAAATGTGCACAAAGGTGATGAAGAGGAGGAAGTGAGGCTGGTTTTGTTGGCGTGAGGGATGGAGGCTGTAACGCAGTGTTTGTGTTGTGGGCGTGATGGGATACAATACAATACCGTACAATACCATGGACCATGTGTAGATCCTATCAAGGCTTTCTATCAAGCATGTCTGGGCAAACGTACATGTTGGAGATGCGGGGACGATGCTTTGGAAAGCAGTGTGATGTCATCTCGCCACTGTGTAGCGTTATACATCGTATTGCATGTAGAAATACATGTACATGTCTGTGTGTGTACATGTATCCCAGCACCACAACCATCCTACTCCACCACCATCCCACCACTCTCAAACACTCACCCAACAATCCACATCTGCCAATACACCAAAGAATCAGCCTCAAGGGCGTAACAATAGTTAGTGCAGACATGATATATCGTAACAAGAGATGAGGATGAGGATGGAAAGGGGGGGGGGGGGGGGGTAATGAATGCCGTTGTGGCTGTCATTTCGTATACGGGGTACGACATGGACGACGCCATGATTTTGAACAAATCTGCACATGAGCGTGGCTTCGGTTACGGTACCATCTACAAGACCAAGATCTGCGATCTCGAAGAGGGCAGCCGGAAGAACCGGTCCGGAAGGACCATCACGAAGATGTTTGGCTTCGCCCCAGAAGGCTTCGTCAAAGCTGAGAGCAAGGAGACGCTCGATGAAGATGGCTTCCCTCGTATTGGCACCATGCTGCGTTCTGGCGACGTCATCGCCGCATGGCACACCGTTTCCTATGATCCCGCCGCCGACGACTACATCAATCGGGACGGCCAGACAAGCTTCTTCAAGTACAAAGAAGACGAACTTGCGTTTGTCGAAGAAGTCCGCATCATTGGCTCCGAAGACGGTACGCAGCCATGCCAAAAAATCAGCATCAAACTCCGCGTACCCCGTCTCCCTGTCATTGGCGATAAATTCTCCTCCCGCCACGGCCAAAAGGGCGTGGCTTCGCAGAAATGGCCGGCTATCGACATGCCCTTTAGCGAATCCGGCATCCAACCCGACGTCATCATCAACCCTCACGCCTTCCCGTCCCGCATGACAATCGGCATGTTTGTCGAGTCACTTGCGGGCAAAGCAGGCGCCCTCCATGGCATTGCCCAAGACTCGACCCCCTTTCGCTTTGATGAGCAAAACACAGCCGTCGACTTTTTCGGCCACCAGCTTATGAAGGCCGGCTACAACTACTACGGAAACGAGCCCATGTACAGCGGCATCACGGGCCAGGAACTCGCAGCCGACATATACATTGGCGTAGTCTACTACCAGCGCCTGCGCCACATGGTCAATGATAAATTCCAAGTCCGCACCACGGGCCCCGTCAACTCAACCACCGGCCAACCCATCAAGGGCCGCAAAAAGGGCGGCGGCATCCGCGTCGGCGAAATGGAACGCGACGCCCTCATCGCCCACGGCACCGCCTTCTTACTCCAGGACCGTCTAATGAATTGCTCAGACTACACACGCGCCACCCTCTGCCGACAGTGCGGCAGCTTCCTCAGCACCGCGCCCACGGTCGCCGAGTTTTCGCGCAAGAAGGAGAGGGGCGGCAGGGACGTGGTTGTTCGCTGTCGGCGCTGTGCGAGGCCGGCGGATGGCGTGCAGAGCAAGGCGGATGTGTGGATGGATGGTCAGGGTATGCGCTTTGTAGGTGGCGATGATGTCGGGGTTGTGGCGGTGCCGGGCGTGCTCAAGTATTTGGATGTTGAGCTGGCGAGTATGGGGGTTAGGTTGAAGTTTGAGGTTCAGCCGTAGGTTTGGGTGTGGGCAGGTGTGTATATAAAATTAAGCATGGTTTAGGGCGTTTTTTTTGGGGAGGGGGTGGGAAGGACTTGTAGGAGGGGAAAAGTTTGAGCTGGGGATTTTTTAAAAACTTGGTCTTCTTTTTTCTGTGGGAAGAATGGGGTTAGGTAGTGTGTAGCAAGAGAAAGGATGCTAGGAGGATTGTTTTTTTCAGTTCACTGCTGTGATGGAGTGCTTGGTGTATGCTAAGGTGGGACGTGTCAAGGAGATCTCTCTTCGATGGTTAGATGGAGTATTTCGTCTAGAACGCAAATGTTGGTATGACCATCGTTGCGTTTAAAAAGGCATCATCATTCATATCCATGCCAGACATCAAACTGCATCTACCCGTGTACACTTCTTCCGCACCAACCTATTACGCCTCCTTCTCTCCCAACGTCAGCCCCCGCACCGCCTGCTCCCCAACCTGCTCCCCAACATCAACCTTTGCCTTATCCGCACCCTCGACATGCCCATCCGGCTTCGCCTCGACCTTCTTGGGATGAAACGACCCCTTATCCTTCTTCTTCTTCTCCTTCTTCTTCTCCACCGGCGGCGGCGGATACGCCTGTTGCTCGATATGCTGCCAAGCAGGCGTAGCCTGGAACTCTGCCTGAACGGGCTCGAGCAGCTTATTAAGGGCGTCGGTGACGGCGGGCTTGAGGTCCTGGGGGATGAGAATGTCGTTTGCGTAGTCTGACTGCATGTCTGCAATGTTTGTGTAGACGAGGGGTTCGGCGTCGCGACGGGGAACGATGAATTTCTGTTCGCCGTGGATGAGGTGGCCGGCGGGGAGGAGGACGTATTCGACGAAGCTGAGGACGCCGTTGTCGTCGACAATCTTGGGCGGCGCGAATGCCTTTTTCAGTTTGCGCTTGACAATGTCGGCGTTGTCCAGCACGTCGATTTTCGAGTCTGGGTCCGAGGCGCTCATTTTGCCGCCCTGGAGGCCGGGGACCATGGGGTTCATTAGGTGGGCGCGCTCTTTGTAGCCGATTTTGGGGAGCACGTCTTTGGCGAGGGCGAAGATTTTGCGTTGGTCGACACCGCCAAATTGGACGTCGACGTCGAGGTATTGCTCGTCCAGTGCTTGCATAAGGGGGTAGATGAGCCCACTTAGGGGTGCGTTTTCCGTCTGCTTGACCACTTCGGCGCCTGCTTTTTTCGCCGCGCTTTCGCTGGTTATCGAGGCGAGACGGAGCAGGTCCATTGTGTAGTCTGCGTTTAGTTCGTAGCTTGACCCGAGGACGAATTCGAGTTTGTCAATGGGGACCTTGACCGCTTTGAGAAGGGCTCTGATCGTGTAGCGGTAGTATTCTGCGCGGAACTTGACGAGCTCAATGGGCGCCTTTAGGTTGTCGAGGAAGCCGTGTATGTCAGCCAGGAGGATCTTGACATGACAGCCAGCTGCGAGGAACTGGGCAATCTTGAGGATGGGCACAAACTGTTCTCAATCAGTAAGCGACACTGCCGGCTGAATGAAGAGACCGCTATACGTACGTATCCACAATGTGGCCTTCCAGTGGTCGCAGTGCCCCAGTAGACCTTCAAATGACCCTGCTTTTTCAACGCCTCGTCCATAATCTCTGGGTTCAACACCTCGGCCAGATTGACCTTGATGAGCGCCATCTTCTCCTCCTCCGACATGTTGGCGCTGGGATCAACAAACGCCGCATCTTGCGCTTGTTTTAGCCTCAGTTTCGCATCCTTGAGCTGTGCCTGCGCCTCCTCAATGCGCTTTTCAATGGCTGCGATCTCCTCTTGGATCGCAACTGGGTCCGCCATGGTGGGGTATGGAGGGGTAATTGCCGTGCCAATTGCGAGGGTTGTGGGGATTCTGGATGGACGAAAGGAGGGATAGAACACACAAAGTTAGATAATTTCAGTAGCAAGCTAAAGCTTAGCCCAAGTGGTTTGGGTGTTGGATCATCTCACTGTGAAAGTTAGTGACTCTTCATGGGCTCGATGAGCAATATGCCCGCTAGACAAAATAGTGGGTCCAAGGGTCCAGCCAGCAGTCAGCTTCATTGGCCATGTTCCTAGTCACTCAAACCACAACTACAATGCACGACACTTGCATGATGATCATTCCAACTAACTTCTTTCTCAAGAGGCTTATCTCCCATATGATGTAAAAAGACATGACATAAGATCGGATGACTATAGCTTAGACAACAATCGAATTAGTTCCGCCCTAACTTCTAGGCAGGGATCAGGTTACCAGAGCAGCCTGTCTGAAAGAGTGCAGTGCAATAGGATAGGAAAATGCGGACACCATGAAAGGTTTGTATTTTACTACTTACATAGGGCATACAAAAGTCTGTTTAAACAACTCTCAGTGCACGATGCAAGCCCAGTCCATGGGCCAAGAAGAGAAACGCAAGAAAAAACATAATCATTGTGCAGCGACCGCAACAGCAAAGCCAAGAAACATCTTAGTTATGGCACTTTGCCAAGCAGTTATCCACATCCTGCACCAGATTGGCAGGAATCATGCTACGGAACTGCTCAATATTGCTGCCATCGATGCTCTTTGGAAATCCAAGCGTAGCGTTTACAACACCAGCGTTCAGTGCAAAGAAACCCTGCGCAACCAGGCTAGTGCCCGGGTCCTCCGAGTTCAGAGACGAGACAGTGACTGCCTTTTTGCAGTTGTTGTTGAACTGGTAGTGGATGGAACCCATGGGGAAGATGGTGCCCTCGTACTTGTTCAGCTTCCCGGCGATTTCGGACTTCTGACCGGCTGCCACAAGGCCGTTCTCAAGTACATAGCCGAAATGGAGGTTGCTGCCCTCGACGAGAGTCACCCACTCATCGGCACGGGGGTGAACGTGAGGAGCGTTGATCCCACAGGGCTCAATGAATGCCATTGTAGTTGTAAGTCCAAGACCGGTCAGGATGGGAAATGTATCGACGTTCTAAAGGCATGTCAGTCAAAACAATAGCCTGTATAATCCGAGTGTGACTAACAGCAGACTTTGTTGCTCCACCCTTTGCCTTTGGGCTAGGTGTTGCATCATGGAAGACGAAGGTCGTGGCTTTTTTGAGAGCTTCGCCAGTGATGAGAGCTCCACCCTGAGTGAGAAGTCTCTGGAAGCGCTTGACGACTGTTGGTGCCGCGCGCAAATCGCGGGCGAGGAGAGCCACGTCCTCTGGAGGGGATGATGAAGAAGGTGGTGTTGCGGCTTGGGGAAGACCATGGACAGCACTGAGAGTCGCCAGGGCGGCGACAACGGCTTTTGTGAAGGTAAGCATGATTGTTGAATGTTCGAATCGACACCTTAACCTGCAAGGAAACAGTAAAAACGAATGACTAAAGGTGAAGAAGAAGGGTTGGAGTGTGAGCTTCTTGGCTGTGATGATGAGCTGGGTTGTCCAGTCATCCTCTCCTATCTATACAAACATTATATATATATCGACATACTAAAATCTCATCGTGCTAGCACAAGCCCAACTCTCGTCCGGTCCCTCGGCGGTGCTGTTATATTGAGAAGGCTGCACGCAAGCTGCTCACCTCCGTGACCAGGGTTGGGCTCATTTCGGCGGCAACCGAGGTTGATCATACGCTTGAACTTACTATAGTCTTCAAGAAACGTACGTACCTACTCCATTGTAAGTCTGTAGACAGAGTGGTTGGATTAGCGAATGCAGGCAAACTCTCGACGTCCATAATGGCTATGATATGCATATCATTTTTTCCCATAGCAGACAGTAGGCAATTTCTAATACAAAGCTAAAGCAGACATGATCATCCAATCTCTCCAGGACCGATGGTGTTGGAATGCAATCCGACTCAGGGGTAGCGCTAAGCGCCCGGCAAGTGTTATTCGTCCGGGTCGCAATAAGAAAAGTGTCCTGGTCATAAGCCTTACCTTACCCGAATTAGTTAACATCCTACAGCTAGTAAATTAGTACTGCAGGGGATACCGCTAGATAGCCTGTAACTAGTATTTATAGTATTAATATATAGTATTAGTAGTATTACTATAGTAAAGGAAAAGGATTAACTTACTATAACTTAGTATATTTATAATACTACTAGTATAGGGCTTTATAATAACCTTATACTCTATAAAGCCTTAGAAGACACCTAAGAGTTATCTAAGTTAGTTAGTAATATAGATTAAGTAAGTAATATTTCTATAAGATAAAAAGTATAATAATTAGGTGTATTTTAATAGATTTTAGTTAATATAGGATATTAGGTTATAGCTATTACCTAGTTACTATAGGTAAAAACTCTATAATAACACGTAACTAGGTATAGATAACCTAATATCTACTAATACTATACACTAATACTATTAATACTAGTCGCGGGCTATCTAGCGGCATCCCCTGCAGTACTAATTTACTAGCTGCAGGATATTAACCAATTCGGGTAAGGTAAGGCTTATGACCAGGACACTTTTCTTATTGCGACCCGGACGAATAACGTTTCCCTAAGCGCCCCACAATAACGTACATCCTTTGCTGTTAACCACAGTGGGACTGGTTCGTACTGCGTTGTTGGAAGCCAAGTTTCCTCAACACCAGCCTTACCTATGGCTAAGCTCGCTGATCCGTGGGCATGGGATTGCCCGATATTAGCAACGGATTTAAGCCAACGTCATCCAAGTGGACCTTCTGAATGGTGCAAAAGAAATCAAATCTAGATGCGTTTCAAGTACAGTTCTTTCGTCTTAGATTCAAAGGTCCGTTGCGAAATCGCATCAATAGGTCGGGCCTCTACTGTGAACGGTTTCGTGATAGTACGAATAGCGTTCGGGATGAACGAGAAGCCACCCCAATTTCCAACGCAGGCAGTGTTCGGAGAGAGACAAGCTTATCAGATGGCCCGAATGCCCATGAAGATCATTTGCGTTCTCTGACATATTCCATAATGTTCAGCTGATTTAGTCCAAATCAACGTCAGCTGTATCTCACTTCCAGATGCTGCGTTGACTACCCTGCTGTGTAGGTAGCTGTAACGAGTGTACAAGGCCACTAAGCGGGCCAATTAGCCTGAAAACTGTAGAATACTTGTAGAACATCACAGGGGACAACGGACACAATTTTCAGCAGCTCTAGAATTACTCTCTGCCAATACCTAGGAATCAGCACTACCGTGCCGCATACTAGGCTAAAAGCATGCAATGAAATTATCATAATTTGATATTGTAATCACTTCTGCATCTGATAAAATCTTTCTTGCCCGGAGGAAGTCCGACATCACTGCTGAACGATATACGCCGTTTAGGTACCGGTACCTAGCCACGACATTGTCAAGTGCGAAAAGTACATGCCTGTCCGGTACACCTTTGTGAACGCGACAAGCACAACTGTTCACGTTACACGCACAAACCGTCAAGAGGAAAAAGATGGCATTTCTCTCCTACAGCCCTCTGGACAGTCTCAATAAGGGTGATTCAGCGTGCAGATATGTTGTCAGGTGATGCTTCGTCTCGGACTGCCCACGTTCTTCTTATCAAGCTCCTGATAACAGAGTAGAATAGAATCTGAGTATTACAAGACTTCTGATGAATGGGATGGGAATACTGCTGAATGTTGCGGCAGATGCTGGGCTTTAGCCTGGGAAGTTGGTTCTCAACACTACCTTAAATACCAATAGAGCAGGAAGATCGAAGTGCAAAATTTTCTCTTGACAATACATGCCGACGGCCCCTGAACCAACTTCGACATTGTATATCATACTAAATTCTGCAAATATTGAGCATATTCGTAAGATCGCTAATGTTGTCTAAACACATATTTGACTAGTGGTATATTGGCTACGCAAACAACGGCTAAACGGGATAATTTTTGCTGAAATGAGACGCTGAAAGTACAACAAAAACAGAAACTCATTTTTTAGACCCAAGCCCAGTGGGTAATTACTCCGATTCAATCTCCAGATCCATCGACTCTGTACCCCTCCAGAAGGGAAGCTCGTCCAGCGTGAAGGCGTCATCACTAGGAATAGATGGCGGTCCTTGCGTGTGCTTCACATATCCTTCCTCCGGCTCCTCCACTTCCGCGATATTGTTGGTGTTTGAGAAGCCTCTGTCTTCGAAGATGAGTGAGCCTCGCCGATCGATTGGACCTCTCACGCGACGACGAAGTCGGCGGGCGCTTGGATCTATATCGTCTAGGGGATCGTTGTCGGAAAAGCTACTGTCGCCTTCGACACTCTGGCTGTGGCTGCGCTTGAAGTTGCCTGCACTCCATCTCTTCTTTTTTTGACGGTATCTTCGTTCTTGCAATTCTCTTTCCTCTTCATCTGAACTATCATCAATGTATAATCCTTTCATTCTGGCGAGCACTTCTGACTTTGTGCCGCTCTTCTCACTCCTGGCGTCTTCGCAATGGCCTTGTATAACTTCAATGTCACAATCGTAGCCTGGGTCACTGTCGAGCTCCTCAATCACGAAGTTGGCTGTTTCTGCGATGCGTATTGGCCTTTCGTCTTCCTCGTCACTCTCTTCGTCAGAGTCGTAATCATAGTCATCTTCAGAATCATGAGAGGTTGTTGCGCAGGCCTGCCCGGACAAGGTAGACGGGGATGATAGATCATGTGATTGCGAGCGCGTGTAATTGAAGTGATAGTCCTGTCCGGTAGGGGTGATTGACTCTAGTGGCGGCGTATGAATGTGCTTGGAGTTGCCCATACGCTTGTAGAGGGATGAGGTTTGGTGGGTTTGTGGTGGATAGCGAACCTGAGTGCGACAGCTCGGCGTCATAGGTGGTGATTCTGGATGGCCGTTCAAAACGGCGGCTGATGGCTGTTGCATTGTTGCCATCATAGGGGAATTGGGTGGTGTTGGGAGTTGGGTGGCGTCAGATGGCCTCGCTTGCGATTGCGAGAGCGTAGGTATCGGCGATCTGCGTTTGCACTTTTCTTTACTGATTTCAAGGATTCAGAGTCCGATGGACGTGTCTAGATTTTGCAAGGTGAAGAAGAAGTTTCGTCGACAGTATCATTCTGGAGATGGTGGAAAGTGTTTGACTGGGCTATCCGAGCGGCGAACTCGAGCGGAGAGGCGGAGAGGTTTACAAGTTGAACCCTGCAACGCCTTGGCTTATCTTGCAGGACAAACTGAGGGTGCTATAGGCAGCAATGCAGGAAAAGTAGCTCGCTGATCAAGAAAAAGCCACAGAGTGCAGGTCAGCTCGGGAACGATGCAGGTGTGCTGGTCGAATGGTGATGTAGGAGAAGAAAAAAGAGTACTGGAGGAAGAACAGTTCCCTGCCGAGTGAGAAAAGTGTGCGGGCCTGTCGCCAATTATTGAGCAGCGTGTCAGTGAGCTGGCGGCCACGGAACGGCTCAATCTGCAGCAGCGTCCTCGTTTCATGACTCCGATGCTGGCCACGATATGTGGTCGCGAACGATTAGTCGCAACAAAGACTTGGGCACTCTACCTTGCATCAGGCTGCAAAGGCGCCCAATGAGGTCAGTGTCCAAGATTGCAGCGCGCAGGGCGGGTAGGATAGTGCTGGCACTACGATGGACAGCTGGCAAAGAGGGCACTGGGTGAGCGTCTGCGGGGCATCGATGCAGCACGCCAGACCAGGGCATACGAGCCACGCAGCAAGAAGCGGAACTGGTACTGGCATAGGTAGCCCTGGAAGATGAGGCTCTGCTGGCGCTTTTGACTCTAAAACTGGAGGTTTCCAAGTTGAAACATGCGGCCTTGGTGTTCGCAGCTGAGGCGAGCCCTGGAGGGATTGATGGATGTCTGGTGTGAGGTCGCTGGTCACGTGCCGAGTGTGGTGGGGAGATTGGCGCTAGTGACCAATCCGGACAAGCGCTCCCTTCAGGTTAATCCGTTGCGTGGCATGTCGAACTTTGGCCAGAGCCAGCTGAAGCGGAGGTCGCCATACCAGCCTGACAGCCAGCACTGTGTTTCTTTCTCTTCCATTCACACCTATCCGCCCTGAAGCTTGATCTCTCTGGCATTGAGGCTGCATAAGGACCCCCTGAAGCTGCGGCTTCAATCCCAATTCCACCATGGCTTCCTCTCCTTCCATGTTGACCAAGGCAGGCAACGCTCCGCCAATGCGCCTCCACAAATAGCTAATGGATAGCCAGTTCGAGTCCAAGTCTTCCAGGGCCAAGGGAATCGCCTTCCACCCCAAAAGGTGTCTCAGCTTCGTTCACCTATGCCCTTGCTCCGCTGACCGCCTTCAGGCCATGGATCCTCGTGTCGCTACATTCTTCCACAATTCAATTATGGGACTACCGAATGGGCACTCTGATAGACCGCTTCGAAGAACACGACGGGCCGGTCCGCGGCGTGGACTTCCATAAAACACAGCCATTGTGAGCATGTGTTAAGAGAGATCCGGGCTGGGTATACTGACATTCGGCAGGTTCGTGTCTGGCGGTGATGACTACAAAATCAAGGTCTGGTCTTATCAGACCCGAAGGTGTTTATTCACCTTGAACGGCCACTTGGACTATGTGCGGACTGTCTTTTTCCACCACGAGCTGCCATGGATCGTGAGCAGTTCTGACGATCGTAAGCGCATACCGCAAGTGGCTGGGAACTGGCTAACTTGTATCAGAGACTATCCGTATCTGGAACTGGCAAAACCGTAAGTGCTATTTGAGCAACTGCACAGAACATGGCTAACGTATACAGGCTCTCTAAGTAAGTGCAAACCACTACATTAACATCCCACCGCCTAACGCCGCGAAGTATGCACCATGACTGGTCACAACCACTACACGATGTGCGCACAATTCCATCCCAAAGAGGACCTCATCGTTTCCGCCTCCCTCGATCAATCGGTCCGCGTCTGGGATATCTCTGGGCTAAGGAAGAAACACTCGGCCCCACAAGCAATGTCTTTTGAGGATCAGATGGCGCGCGCGAACCAGAATCAGGCAGACATGTTTGGCAACACCGATGCTGTTGTCAAATTCGTCCTCGAGGGACACGACCGAGGTGTGAACTGGGTCGCATTCCACCCTACACTTCCCTTGATTGTTTCCGCAGGTGATGATCGCTTGGTGAAGCTGTGGAGAATGTCAGAGACAAAGGCTTGGGAAGTGGATACTTGCCGCGGACACTTCCAGAATGCATCCGCATGCTTGTTCCACCCTCATCAAGATCTCATACTTTCCGTCGGTGAGGACAAGACTATTCGGGTGTGGGATCTCAACAGGCGGACATCTGTACAGTCCTTCAAGCGGGAGAACGATCGATTTTGGGTGATTGCTGCGCACCCAGAGATCAACTTGTTCGCCGCAGGCCATGATAACGGAGTCATGGTCTTCAAGCTGGAGCGTGAGCGTCCCGCATCGGCCGTATACCAAAACAACCTGTTTTATATCACAAAGGATAAGCACGTGCGATCTTATGACTTCCAGAAGAATATCGAGTCGCCTTCTATGCTTTCTTTGAAGAAGCTGGGAAGCGCCTGGGTGCCTCCACGAACTGTCTCCTATAATCCCGCCGAGCGCTCAATCCTGGTCACATCGCCTGCGGATGGCGGTACATACGAACTCATCAGCCTACCCCGCGATGCGTCAGGAGCGGTGGAACCAACAGACACCAAGCGCGGCTCTGGAAATTCTGCTGTCTTTGTTGCCAGGAACCGATTTGCTGTCTTCACTGTAGCAAACCAACAGATCGACATCAAGGACCTCAGCAACTCCACGACGAAGACAATCAAACCACCGCATGGAACTACTGACATCTACTTTGGCGGAACTGGCAACCTGCTCCTCATCACCCCGACTAACGTTGTCTTGTACGATATACAGGGGAAGAAGAATCTGGCCGAACTTGCCGTCAATGGTGTGAAATATGTTGTGTGGTCAACTGATGGTCTACACGTAGCACTTCTCAGCAAACACAACGTTACTATCGCCACTAAAAACCTCGAGCAAGTCAGCACATTGCACGAGACTATTCGCATCAAGAGCGCGACTTGGGATGACACTGGCGTTCTCCTGTACTCCACTCTCAATCACATCAAATACAGCTTGATGAACGGGGACAATGGCATCGTGCGAACTCTGGAGCAGACCGTCTACCTTGTTAGAGTTAAGGGTAGGAATGTGTACTGTCTGGACCGTGCTGCAAAGCCCAAGATTTTGCAGATTGACCCCACCGAATACAGATTCAAACTCGCACTCATCAAGCGAAATTACGATGAAATGCTGAACATCATCAAGAACTCCAGTTTGGTCGGACAGAGCATCATCTCATACCTGCAGAAGAAGGGTTACCCTGAGATTGCACTTCAATTCGTTCAAGACCCGCAGACTCGCTTCGAACTTGCTATTGAGTGCGGCAACCTTGAGGTAGCTGTGGAGATGGCAAAGGAGCTCGATCGACCAAAGCTATGGCAGCGGCTTAGCATCGAAGCCCTAGCGCATGGCAACCACCAGACGGTCGAAATGACATACCAAAAGCTACGCAGTTTCGACAAGCTTTCTTTCTTGTATCTTGCTACAGGTGATCAAGATAAGCTCAAGCGTATGGCGAAGATTGCAGAGCACCGTGGCGACATGACCGCACGTTTCCAAAACGCACTTTACCTGGGCGATGTGCAGAACCGGATAGAGATGTTCCAGGAGCTTGATTTATACCCGCTTGCCTATGCGACCGCCAAAGGCCATGGACTTGATGAGCAGGCACAATCCATTCTCGAGGCAGCGGGCGTAACAGAAGATCAGATCAGAATGCCGTCAATAGGGAACAGTCTTGCGCCGGCCAAGCCTATTGTGCCCACTTACAAGGCAAATTGGCCAACACGAGCAGCATCGTCAACCATTTTTGAGAAGGCTCTCCAAGGAGAGGTTGATGGTACAGCATCCGACGAGCCAGCGGCTAATAGCTATGGAGACGAAGATCTTCTTGGCGACGCAGAACCGACAGGAGCTACTGCTGATCTTGGAGGTGATGAAGAAGACGATGTAGGCGGATGGGATATGGGTGATGACGGCGATGCCGAAGCTGATGATGACTTTGTCGAGGTGGAGGGTGCTGAAGCAGGTGCTGGCAGTAGCGAAGCTGATCTGTGGGCACGTAACTCCCCTCTGGCAGCCGATCACGTTGCTGCAGGATCATTCGAAACCGCTATGCAGCTTCTGAATCGCCAAGTCGGTGCTGTCAACTTTGCTCCACTTGAGGATCGGTTCCAGGAGATCTACCAGGCGACCCGGACATTCCTACCTGCCACACCCAATATGCCTTCTTTGGTCAACTATGTGCGGAGAACTATCGAGGAGACGGACTCACGCAAGATCCTCCCCATCATTCCACGAGATTTGGAATCTATTCTCTCGACCGACTTGACCGCCGGTAAGCAAGCATTGGTCAAGAACAAGCTCGAGGATGGTGTGGCATCGTTCAAGAAACTGTTACATCTCCTGATCTGCAATGTCGTCGCTTCACAGGCAGAGCTGTCTGAGGTAAGATGCTGTATCAACACATGTACAAGTATGTATACTAAACATGAACAGGCAAAGAAGGCTATCCACACTGCCGCGCAATATACTCTTGCCATGTCTATTGAGCTCGAACGCCGCGCGCTGCTCCAAGGCGCGACCGATGTCTCAGCCCTCTCTCCCGAGAACAAGAAGCGTGCCCTTGAACTCTCCGCCTACTTCACCATTCCTGAACTTGAAGGGCCCCACAAGTCTATTCCCCTCTCCGCCGCCATGAACTTTGCCCACAAGAATCGCCAACTCAACACAGCCCTCAACTTTGCGAATGCCCTGCTTGATCGCACTGGTAACGCAAAAATGAAGGAGTCTGCCAAGCGCGTCAAGACCGTGGCTGAGCGCAACCCTTCAGACGTTATCGAGATTGACTTCGATCAGTTCGCAGACTTTGAAGTCTGTGCAGCGAGCCACACACCGATCTATGGTGGATCACCAAGTGTGAGCTGTCCATATGACGGGACCAAGTACCATGGCAAGTACAAGGGTACCGTATGCAAGATTTGCGAGGTCTGCCAGATTGGGGCACCTGCTAGCGGATTGAGGTTGGTTGGTTAGTTGCGGTGCATGAATGGTTTAGATGAACAGGGCTAATGCTCAGCACTTATGAATTGTGAGTAGTGAAAGGAAAACGGTGGACTTCGCTTGGACGTTTGTTTAGCGCTATACTATACTTCAATAAAAATGCAGAAACTAAATAATGTTCTATTGATTGCCTAGGACGTGCGGCTGTAACTTGATTGATGCCAAAGACTATATTGGCTTCTCAAGGACATGAGTCTGCTCAAAACTAGTAAGGTCTGCCAAAAAAACCCGGATTTCAAATACTCGGATAGATTTCATCAGCCTGACCCAGTCTTCTAACTCGTTAAGCGATCTCAATTAACAAACAGCTCTATTGTCTATCTGCTTTCCGTGGCACATTGCCTCCCTAAACCTGCAGCTTTTCGAGGTGAGGTGGGAACAGTCTTTCTGTGAGAATCGTTCAAGTGACTGAAATGACGGTACAACCATTAATACCATACATGGAGGTATCGCCCGGGAGATCTCGCGACTTGTGTATTGCAGCAATCAATTGATCGTTTTAGATCGCTCTTGCCAGACTGGCAAAGCACGCTCAAAGAGGATGAGCGTGCCTGCCTTTCTCGACCACGCTACCAAAATTTTAGTGACGCTGTAAACAACCACTTCAGCTCACCTCAAGTACTTCATGCCCTCTCAACCCCACCTCATACACTCTCAGCTCGACCTGTCGACTCTCGATACAGACACATACAACATGGCAATGGCGCCTACGAGGTCTCGGTCTGCAAGTGCACCGAAGGAAAAACCGACTCTCACTTTGAACACCTCAGTGGACGCGTCTCTCTCCAAGACAGAGACTGCACCTGAACTCTCATTGACTGCTGACAGTTCTACACCGGGCTTCAAGCAGAGAAAAAGTGAGGTCGAGAAATCCACGATCGCAACATCGACGTCGTTGAAAGAACGCTCGTCCTCATCTTTGCCACTCGCTCAGGATGGTTTCAGCTCTGTCAGTGACTGCTGGCCCTCAGGTCTAAGGAGCGAGCCAGACTTGAGAAGCGAGCGGACCACGCTGCATGGTAAGTGCAACTCATCACTCATACTCACATTCGCTAACCTAAATAGATGACTTGATGCTTGCCACATACGAGTACGTTATGCTTGTTGAGCGTAATGGCAAGCTGGAGAATCAGCATCGTGAGCTCCTCGAATTGGCTTCTGCCTACGGCGAAGTCATCCGAGGAACTTCTTCATGGAAGCAGCCTAATATCAGCACCCATCAGCTTCGAATCGAAGCCGGTACTGAGGGCCTGCGGGCGAAAGCTCTAGAAGCTGATGTTCTCAGGCCTATAATTCGTGAAGCTGGTGGTCTGCAGGCCCTGGTGTCCAAGATAGACTCAGTGCATTCACTTATACAGCAGGCTGGTGGCTTGCAAGAGCTCAGAGAACTTGTTTCGAATTCGCAGTTGCTCCAGATCAGTGTAGATGAGGCTGGAGGTCTTGAAGGCCTCCATAACCTCATCTCAGAGGTTGATACATTGCGATCAGAACAGCAAGCACATGCAGAGTTTCGAAAGGCTGTGGGAGATCTCGAGCAGCTCAAATCTAAGGCTGCTAAGTACGACAAATTGACAACGGCGTTTGCTGAGATCAATGCGACGAAAAATGCTGACAATGTTTGTCGCGGGTCCCCAACGGTAAGTGCCCTGCGACATGCGAACAGCGTGAAGCTATATAATTTTGGATCTGATCGCCTACATAGGTTCCACTCGTTGGCATTAATCCTGCGCGTGCAAATCTCATCTGCGTTGCGCCCCCAAATAACGACCCTGATCGCGACTTATATGAAGGCCCATCCTCTAGACTAATGAATGTCCCGTGGATGAAGACGGGCTCGAACGATATACCCTTAGGAGATTCAGATGCCCACGGGCAGCCCAATGATCAATCAACTCGACTGGTGGTATCCAAGCGAAAGCATGATCATGGGCTACCCCTCCACACGAAGCGTCCGCGGGTTGATGTTGGACGAGCTACCGCTCTTGTGGGTGCCACCCTGAACAACGGAGGCCCTAGGGTCAAGTATGAGACCGACAGTTCCTCGTTTGTGAGGCCTGGGATGAGCGCTACTTCGATGTCTCCTTCTGACCTTCCAGGCCGAAATGACAACCAGCGTTCTGGCGTGAGTGGCCAGCTGCCCTTAGCTCGAGCGTCTGATATTCCAAGGTATCAAGTCAAGGCTTTGAACATGGTCCCTTCATTACGGCACTACAATCTGGCCATCTGGGTAGGGACTGAAAATCCGTGTGAGCTCTCCTTGTGTGGGAATTTGAGAACTGCTTCACAGATTCCGCCTAAATTTGCACTCTTTCTTATGGATGAACTTGCAAAGCACGTTAGCGAGTCAAGAATGCATCTCCTCAAGTCTGTGGAGGTCAGTGCTAATACTTGCATTCTCTCCTATCTTGTCGAAGGTCAGAGGGCTCGCATAGGTCCTCCACGAGAGCGCATGGCATGTAGGCAGTGCTTGATGCATCGCCGGCCCTGCGCCTTGCTCCAATGGGTCTCAAGAGCCAAGACTATTGTCTTCCTGCCAGTCCAAGAGAGTTTGCGAAGGGGTGTCAGCTGGAAAGATAAGGATAGTTACATCCTGTGAGACACTAGTGTCCAGCCAGAGCCACTAAAATGAGCGATGAGTTTCGTGGGGGTTATTCGCTGATATTTTGATGGCATGATTTCCTCCCCGAAGATGTGTCTTTCGAAAGGTTTCATTTGATCAAATAGATAGTATAGATATATACTTTGTAGGTGGCATGTTAGCTGTAGAGAAGTTACCTAATTTAATTTCGAGCCACAGACCAATTTCTATTCTTCTTGATTCATCATCGTAAAGGAAAAAACCTGCTTCCTCGCCCGCCTATCCGGACTCATCCATTACTGAGACATATCAGAGTTTGAAGTTGCTTGATAGTTAGCAAAATACAGCATATACAGTATAGCGTAGAATAGCCACTATAATTACACATTATCATAGCCTGGTATGGTGTAATTTGGGCCGCGTTAAGGATGCCAGCATTGCAATTATGCATTATCCACTAGCAAGCGCTCCTTGGTCTAGTTTTACTCTGTGAATTCATACTTCCCCCCTTTTTTCTACTCCTCATATATCTTGACTTTCTCCGCATACGCTCTGATGTTTGAGTGGATTGTTTCGTTGATGAGTTCGCCGCGTCCACCTGCGACTTGCAGTATAAGATCGTTGAGGGAGGAGCGGCCGAGGATGTCGACGTGATCGGCTTGACGGGGGTATTAGTAGGGATTATACAAAGCACATGGCTGTTTTCTGTAGGGCTTGCGCGCATGAAACATACATTCACAGAGTATACAAGACACAATTGAAAGAGAAGGAGCAGCTGGAAGAAAAAACAAAAAAAAAGACATACCGGTATTAGGACCCCCTCGAGGACTCAACGCATCAGGTTCATGCTTCATCTCGTAGACTGTAACCTTGACGCCCGCAGGATTATAGCGTTTGATCCCCCACCCCTTTGCACACATGTACCCGCTAGACAGTAGATTGACCGTGCCATCCCCCTCGCCCAGCACAACGCCATGGTCGACATTATCCCTCGTGTACACAGTATCTAACGTGACATTCAGCCCGCTCGAGGGATCGTCATCGCTGCGGTAATAATACGCGCGTTCAGTCTCCTTGCCGACGCCGTAGAAGCAGTAAATTTTCAGGTTCGGGGCGCGCGGCAGGCGTGTCTCAAGCGGGTTGACCCATTTGGCGGGGAGGAGTTGGTTGCGCTCGACGTCTGCGGTGGTGTGAGCTACGCCGTGGGAGTAGGACGAGGTAATCATTTTCTTGAACCAGGGTTCGGTATTTTGGAAGAGAAAGGGGAGGCTGTCGTCGACGGTGAGGTTCTTTTTTGTGAGCGGCGAGGTTGTGTTGCGGAAGCGGATAAAGGGGCCAAAGGTGACGTTTTGGCCGGGGAGGTCGTCGGGCGCGCCGGTTTCGTCGCCCCAGACTGCGTTGCCGCCGAGGGGGAGCATGGAGGAGAGGCCGGGCATGGCGCGGAAGAGTTCGGCGCGCTCGTAGCGGGAGAGGAAGCGGTCGAGGCCGTAGACGGCAAAGGCGTTGAGCTGAGCTGTGTCTTTCATTTCGCCGGACAGCACGGCGGGCATGTCTTTCAGGGCGCCGAGCATGCAGCCTGAGATGTTGATCCAAGAGTCGATGTGCTTGTCTACCCAGTCTGGGCCGCCGTCGCCGTAGCCTTTGGCCTCGACCCAGTGCATAAAGTAGTACAGGACCTGTGAGCCCATAGAGTGGGAGAGTAGGACGACCTTTTTGTCCGCGACCTTGACGGCAACTTCAATGTGCGACTTGAGGCGGGTGAAGTACTGATCGCGGATCTCATAGTTCATATAGCTCATGCGCCAGTCATAAGATGCGGTGAAGGCGTTGCCTGGGTCATACCCGATGGTTGCGAGGTTCTCGAGAATCTTGTTCCATATCCAGTAGCCGGTGATGAAGAAGTCTGCTGCGTCGAAACCCTGGGCGGCCCTCAGCTTCACTCCGGGCGGATCCATGCCTGTATCTTTATCCAGCATGATATGCCGCTTCCACGAGGCCTTGTCCATGACCAAGGCGCGCATCATTGTCCACGACCCCCACAGCCTCTTGCGGAAGTATTGCCTCGATCCTTCTTCTGTGCCCCACGACTCGAGTCCGGTGGAGATGACGCCAGGGATCATGATGACGGGGTGTTTGGCCTTGATGCCCTGTTTTTGCGCATGCAGGCCGACGGCGAAGGAGTCGTAGTCGACCGTGTCGCGTTCTTGTTTCTACTGGGTCGAGAGGAATCAGCACTCGTCGTCCCATGGGAGAAAGTCCAGGCCATGGCCGCTCAGGATTGCTCGAGTGAAGCAAGCAGACTTCCTACCTGCAGTTGCTGTGCGCTCTTGACAAAACTCGCAGGCAGCGCTTCCATGAGGCTCTCCAGGTTGACATCCTGCATGGCCTTGAAGTCGATTATATCATTGTTGCTCGCAAAGAAGCCCGCTCCTATCAGGCCGAACAGGATGCCCACGCCAAAAACCCAGGCATTCTTCCTTTTGCCATGTTTTCCCCTATTCTTGAGGGTATGCAACTGTTCCGTCGTGATCACGCGCAGATTACCAGGTCGCTTCGTGCCATCTGGCGCCGGCGAGGGCTCCCGCGAGATATCGGGCGTAGAATCGTCGCCTGTTGCACGACCGAAGCGACGTCTGAGGAAAGACATGGACCGCCGTTGTTGGAGTGGGGGGAGGGGTTGAGGATCGTGCGTGTCCTAGACAGGTGGAGGGGTAGATAGTTTGATACGAGATATAAAACTCACTCAACTATACACACCGTACCGCATAAAAATATATCTTACTTTCCCCCTTCGACCCACCAACAGACCAAAGCCGGCATGTGACGGCATGATCGCTCTCCGGGATTCCCGCGCACGGTCCACATGCCCACATGGCAGGCCGGCCGCTCCTCCGCAGCCACCTCCGCCACTCTGCCCCGTTCCGAAGGCGCTCGGAACAGACTTGGCCCTCTGCATTCCACCTCTCCGTCAACCTCTCAGCCTTCCCACTCTCTCGCTATAATGGAAGAGGAGAAAGATGAAGATGCATTCCAGAAGAAGGAAGACACAAGATCATCCCCAAAGGAACTGATCTATGTCCAATACTCCCCTGCAGAAGAGGAACGCTATCTCCCCGCCATCCGCCAACTCATCTCCAAAGACCTTTCGGAGCCATACAGCATTTATGTATACAGATACTTTTTGTATCAATGGGGGGATCTATGCTACATGGTCCGTCTTCTCCCTGCATATTTCCCCTCCATCTATACCACCGCAAACAAAAATTCCTTTCACTGACACCACCCCACCCAGGCCCTTGACCCCTCCTTCCCCTCCCCCTCCCTCATCGGGATCATAATCTGCAAACTCGAACCCCACCGCTCAGGCACCTTCCGCGGCTACATTGCCATGCTGGCCGTCGCCTCGGCCCACCGCAATAGGGGAATCGCAACCTCGCTCGTGCGCCGCGCAATCGACGCCATGGCCGCGCGCGATGCTGACGAGATCGTGCTCGAGACAGAGGTCAGCAACACGGCGAGTTTGAAGCTGTATGAGCGCCTGGGCTTTCTGAGGAGTAAGAGACTGCATCGGTATTATTTAAATGGAAATGCGGCATTTAGGTTGATTCTTTACTTGAAGGAGGGGACGGCGTTGAAGAGGCCGCTGGGTGGGGAGGGGGATGGGGGCCAAGGCGTGGGAGGGGTTATGGGACAGGATATTAGAGGGGCGTATGACGAGGCCTTGTATGGATGAAAGGTGTCATAGGCTGTGGGTGAGTTATACAAAGCATCCAGTGGGCTTACGAAATGGGGAGACACTTTAGGTGCATATTCATATGCAGTGAACATTCCAAGGGGCAAGAATATCGTCGGTGCCATATTCACACCAGCACGCGACAGATGACCAAAAGCAATGGTTTACAGATGTTCCACTACACACGCATTTGCATGTACATGTCCCCACGACATAGATGGACATGGTATGCTTCCAGTCCCAAGATAACGACCATAGCGATCATGACGAAGAAGAGTGACAGATAGAACATCCATTCAATTAAAATACTTGAAGCCCCCAACCACCCCACTCAAACATCAAGAGAGCAATTCTCTAGTCTTCACGGCACTTTATTCTTGCCGATGAAGACGCCCTACTAGTCCTTGACACACTGAGCTTCTACAGCCTCTACCACCATCCCTATGCCCTCTCTCGCAGCTCCCCCTGCCAACTTACTATACTATATCATCTCCCGCCGATTTCACACTCAAACAACACACTCCCATCTCACCCTCTACACACCCTTTTCTATATGAATCATGTACGTCAACTCTCTTGTACCCTACTACCACACCCACATATAATACCCGCGCACTACATGGGCAGATAACATAAACGTTCACGCCCAGGTAGATGCATGTCATCCACGTACAGTGCTCTGTACGATGCACCTCGCATACGATGTACCGTTGTCTCGGTTTCGCGCAGTGATTACAATATATTCACCTCTGCTATCAATCTCCCACACAGCAGCGTCCCGATGAAAAAAGCGTAGGACACGCAGAGCGGAGAGAAACAGAGCAGAAACTATAATATCACAGACTATGCGAGACGGCTAATAGGAAAAGGATGCTATACCGCTTGCTCGTTTTCCCTATAGAACACATTTTTCTTATAGTATGGGTAAGGGAGTCAGTCCGTAACACTCCGTCTTTTGTCTGTCCACTTGGCACAATATTGCATCCCAACTAAGCAGACTGCCAGACGTTCTACGTGCTGATGTTGCGCAGAACGGAGGAGGGAGCTGCGTTGTATTGTATATATAAACAGTGGTCTGTATTATGCATAGTAGGGCGTTTGCTTGGGATATATGTTGCTTGTAACGGTAGATAGGTGAGGAGTTACTACGGCGGTAGCTGGTATCATACTAACATAACTCCCTCTCCTACTTCTTCAAGTGTGGTGGAAAATGAACCATCACCGCGATTTATACCACGCATCTACGGCGGTGTATTGGGATGAACTTGCAGCCTGTGCATCACTCACTGAATCTCCAAGACCCCAGTGTTTCGTGTGCAGAGTACTTGGCGCTGGAAATGTGTCGTCTGATAGTTTATAGTGTAGTAGGTAGTACGCTCATCATTACTACGTACCCTATCATCACTGCATTTCACAGCCATGCATACTACAATTATGCAACCTCTTGTGTACAATATACACAACCATCCTACACACACCCCATACCTATCTACACCCCATGCCTATCTACACCCCATACCTATCTACACCCCATACCTATCTACACCCCATACCCATCTACAAGCCAGCACACCCACCAAGCCCTTATCTACACATTTCCCCACCCATCTCCCATCCTAACCCGCCAGATCCAAATCCAATCCCCCTTTGTCCGGATAGAAAAACTTCCCCCACTAAATCACGGCATAATGGTGCACTAGGTAGGCAGTCCCCCGGCATCAAGCTGGTTAGCTAGTCGGCAGCGCCTGACTCGCGCCCAGGAAAGCAATTTCTAGGGCGGTGAGGGGGGCTAGTGCGTTTGTGGTGGGAGGACCGGTGCATGAAGAGAGAGAGAGAGAGTGTGTGTGTACAGTATGTGTGTACACTGTATGGGAAGGAACTGCTCAGACGACTCGAAAAAGGCAGAGAGCAGAGAAGAAAACAAACAATCCACCGCAATAATAAATCCACTAAATAACACCCACCGTATACACACCACCCTCCCCCCCACAATCCATCCTCACAAACAACAACCACACAAATATCCACCACACCCCCCCCCTCAATCTGTCATTCCCTTCCCAAACCACAATTCACACGCACATCCTCATCTCCGCCCCCATCCACCCCCTCACCGCCTCCCTCCCCCCCCCTTCGCCTACCCCAGCCCAGACGCGGAAAAGAGTGCCAGGTCTAGGCCTAGACCTGGGCAAAAAAGACGGAAAGCACTACATGTACGTATGTGGAAAAAAGGTGCAAGGTGCAAAGGCGGATGGGATCGGCCGATTGGGCGGGTGGATGGTGAAGGGTAAGGGTGATTTGGATGGCCGATACGGAAGGGGGTTAGTGTGTATCTTGGTGTGGTGTGCAATTTCCCGGCCGTGGGTGCATGTGGCAGGGGTGTGGGGAGGGATGTTGTGCAGATGAAGGACAAGGGGGTGAGATTTTAGGGCAGGCGCGTAGGGGACGGTATGGTGTTGAAAATTTTCCTGTAGTGGAGATGAGTAAAAGTCACGGGTTTGGTGGTCATGGAGGAATTGGTAAACTTGCACGGCAAAGATGCATTTCAATACACAACATTCATGTGGATTGGAATAGTACGTGGGTCGAAAACTCTTGTCTATGTTGGGATATCGGCAAAGAGAATTGAATCTATAGACATGAGGAGGATTATCCGACCACATGGGCTCTCCCTTTGTTGATGCAGCAGAAAGCATTGGGAGCAGCAGCCAGATTTCCAATCAAGACGTATATATTAAGATGGGTAAACATGAACTTGTCAAAAATCGAAAATGGCTTGATGCTGCTACGGCGGCCATGGCATCGGCCAAGGGTATCGCTCAAGGAAGCCAGAAAAGTCAAGCCTATGATAATCCAACTCCGCCATCTCAATGCTGGACCCCATCGTGATGTGGAAAGTCGAAAAATCATTACCCGTGAAGCCATTAGAATAATCCTCCTCTGTTCCCCTGTCTCCCCTGGGGAATCCACGCTCGGGAGAAATCAGACGGCGGCCAGCGTGCAAAGGCTAGGACACCATCGAATTCCACTTCAAGAGCGAGCCGCTTACAAGAAAGCAGCGACGGCACCGACAACGGCCAAGAGACCGACACCAGCCTGGGCAGCAGCACCGGTGAACTCGGAGGTAGCGGGCTTGGTGCTGGAAGGCGTGGCAGCAGTGGGGTGGGGAACGGTGCCGTTGCCAGCAGATGGGTAAGGGACGTGGGCCGGGGGAGTGGCAACGGGAGTTTGGCTGGCAGGAGGAGCGTAGTGGGTCATGATGGACGAGACAGCAGGAGCCGGGGGCATGGAAGAGGCGGGGTAGGAAGGAGCCATCGAAGACTCGTGAGGAGCCATCGAGGAAGGAGCCTCGTGGGTGGGCTGAGCAGGAGTTGGGGTGGGCTTGGCAGGGTAGGTGGTCGTGTACTCGCAGTCCTCGTCGATGATGGTGGTGCTGGTCTTGACGACGTAGGTCTTGGTGCCGTAGGTGACTGTGGTGGGCTCAGGGCAGACGGTGGTGAGACCAGTGACGACCTTGGTGGTGTAGACAGGGTGCTCGGGGGTCATGGAGGAGACGGAGTGAACTGGGTAGTCCTCAACGGGGGTGGAGCTGGAGGCAACCGAGTACTCGGCAGGCTTGGAGGGAGTGGCCGAAGTCATGGTGGTGTTGTAGACCTCAGCATGGCAGCCGTAGCCATAGGCGTTGGCAGCAACGGCAAAGCCGGCGACGACAGCGAAGGAGCGCATGTTGATTGAGTTTGGGGGGGGGTTGGTATTAAATACGTTGGTATTAGGTATTTGGCGTTGAAAAACGAATGGATTCGGTAATAACCGGAGTATTAAAGACAGTGATTGTGTGGGTAGGGAAGAAGAAGAGTGTCGAGGGAGTTGGGACGAGGTTATATATCAACATGGCAGACCAGCACATGGCTAGTATCCAGACCTTGCCGCCTTACCAAGAGTTGCCAACGTTCACTCGGACAGGGAGCGAGCATGCACCCGCCACCACCATCATGGGCATGGCTAGCCGGTGGGAGCCGCTCTGTGGACTGTGCCTGGCGATAGGACGGGATAGGGGAAATGGTCGGCAAAGCCAGCGAAGCCAGCGAGCGAGGCGATGAGCCGTGTTTATTGAAGGCAGTCCCGCTGGCCAATCAGCGCACGATGCGCAGACAATAGCAAGATGAAAAAGCCAATTTCCCCTGTCCAGGGGTGCCTGCTTTTCCTCAACATCTTTGTGGGATGCGCTAGCCCCTTCCAGCCTGTCATCGGCTAGCGTACCATTGGGTTGCGCAAAAGCGGACATGCGCAACCGCACACAACGCTGCCATTTGTCAATCCGCCCACCGACAGCCAATCTTGCCATGGTGAGAAAGCGCGGCCATCGGCTATCGTGATTTCCCCCCATCACTCCTCTCCTCTCCTGCCTACATACCGTCTTTTTTCTTTGTTCCAACGACTCTTCCAGACCCGTCCAAGTGGAGGCTCTCTGCCTCTGATCGTCATTGCACATTGTCTTCACGAACGCATAAAAACAGGCATACCGACCACATTCACCAGTAACCCGGCCGTGCTGTTGGCATCAAAGCCAGATCATCTGAGCCATGGACTGATGTTGTTCCGTCAACGCACCTATCATCTTTGGTGCACGGGTTCCTGCATTCTGGACCTGCGTCTAGGCGCTAGTCGGCCGCCGACCTGCCGATAGCGCACACACACACACACACACACACAAAAACACAATCACATAATTCCCCTTTTTCAGCCCTTTTGCTGCCATGACTCCATTCGTCACACTGGCCAAGAGTAAGCCGAGCTTAAAGAGAGGCTGACAACAGTTCAGCTCCTTTCCAATGTCTCCAATTCGTGCTCCTGTGTGTAACAGTAACCGTCTTCTTCTTTTGGCATCATCATCCATCATGCAGACAGTACCAGCACTCGAACGGATGGCCCTCCACCGCTCAAGCGCCAGGTAAGAATATCCTCCAGTCTTGGTCTGGGTCGGCGTAATCTCGCACCACCATGTCTTTGCATGAAATCATCCACTGTTCAGTGGACGCCACAGTGACTTTCGCGACTATTGCATTGAAATCACCCTTCGTTTGGCGTGCATGTGTTCGACTGCAAAATAACATTGTCGCGCAACACGAGCTTTCCCCCTCATCCTCCGCCTTGACAGTTCCCACAACGGGCTGTTATCTCCGTCGCGTGCACGTTTGTCTTTCGATAGGCAATAGCTCGGGCTAGCGCGGGCTGCCTAAGTTCCTCACACCTGCCCCCACGACATTCAATCTCCCCTCGTCACCAAGCTAAGACGACTTGCAAATACGCCACAGTTGAAATCACCGAATCACATTGGATGATAGATCGTATTTGCCTCTACCGTTCAAGGTCATATCGCCCGTCCCTGGAGGAGACTCCGCCGGCCCCAAGTAAAAAAGACCATAATCTCGCTTTCTTTACAGTCAGACCACCGGAAAAAGGGATTCCAAATATACCTCAATATCAATTATATCTCAATATCGAGCATGCTATGGCGCCAACAACCACGCCGCAATCTGCCTTACCCAAAGGCTGGCCTGGCAAGACCCTGTATCTGCATGCACCATCAATCTCCAAACAGCTCAACAGTGACAAATCCAAGACACTAGTCGTGCCCCAAAAAAGCCTGCCCCTCGAAACAAAAGTATACAAGTCAACAGGGCCCTATACAAACGTCAAGATAACGCCTGTTTCCGACCCTGCCCATCCCGCACACGGCCAACACGCCCTCCTTGCTAACCAGCACTTGCCTCCCGACTCCTTTATACTGCCTTATATGGGCTACGTACATGACCAGACTGATACAGATGAACACTCCAATTACGACTTATCTCTAGATCGTGACCTCGGCATCGCTGTCGATGCAACCAACATGGGCAACGAGGCACGCTTCATCAACGACTACCGCGGCGTCTCCGCCCACCCGAATGCAGAGTTTCGCGACATCTACTGCGAGATTGGCCGGGGCGCGGCGGAGAAGCGGGTGGGCGTCTTTGTGCTGAGTGCTGGCAAGAGTGGCAAGAGGTCAAAGGGGATTGCAAAAGGCCAGGAGATACTCGTCTCCTATGGCAAAGGCTTCTGGACAGAGCGCCAGACGGTAGAGTCGTGAGTTTTGTAGGCCGATGTTGGTGCATTCGCGGGTGTTTTGCATCGTGTTACCGGTACATGTACCCTCATGTATCTACGCTTTTAACTCTAACTGTGGAATCAAAGCTGCTAGATCTGGGGTCACTGTTGATTTTCCTGGGAAACGAAATGGAGTGGCAGGAGGAGCACATGCACATGTGCAAACATGCTCCCATCCTAACCCCCTCGTAATCCAGCCACAACCTTGTCCACACACCCGGCCAAAATCCCCAATCCCCACCCCAAGGCGTTGGACTATTAACTCGTCAAACTACATCTCCACGCACCCGCTCCTCAGCGAGAAAAAAAGTACTCGACTAGATTCCGCATTCACACACACTCTCTCATCTTGGTCGCGTGCTGTTTAATATACTAAACAATAGGAAAACCGAAAAACAGAGTCGCGGAGAGTATGCTACATAGGTGTCATCTACATGGACATGAGCTTTGCCAACGTTTATGCGTGTATAACATGCCTTGACATATATTTGAATCCCGTTCGCAAGACTGCGGTGAATAAACCGGCCATGTGCGATGCGATGCGGTGTGGCGTAGCATGGCATAGTCTATATATTCCACTACCCAGCTACCCAAACCCCAGTACACAACATAAAAACCATACCACGCCCCACACACCAACTCCCCAAACACCACAATTCCGCATCCCAAAGTACACATTCCTCACCTTGTCTGCTCGCGGGGAAGATGTGGATGGCAGGAGTAGTGTGCAGGTGTATGCCGTGTTGGTTTGGGGTGGTACTGGTGTTAGGTATCTGGGTTATGTAGTACTGGTACGGTGTCTGGATTGGGTGTTGGGTAGTATACTACAATGTATCCTGTCGCATCCGCCTACCTGGGTTTTTATTTTTTATAGCGATGGGATGCTGAAATTAGCGTGGGGTTTGCTTTGGGCTGGGGAGGGGAGAGGATTTGTCTGGGGAGGGGAGAGGATTTGTCTGGGGAGGGGAGAGGATTTGTCTGGGGAGGGGAGAGGATTTGTCTGGGGAGGGATTTTGGGGAGGGGATGGGGTGCTGGGATCGAGGTTTGTGTGAAGCTTAGGCGCGGCGAGGGGGAGGGACAAAGGTGTCACAAAAGGGGGGTATGCTGGGATTTGGGGATGCAGGATGGGGGGGGTGGGGCTGGTGTGTGATGCATATGGTCATGAGGAGGAGGTTGCAAGGTAGGAGTAGGTCCTATGGGTGAGGGATTTGGGATTGACCTGGAGATTGGGAGATGGCGGGATTAGTTGTGATGGAGTTGGGCGTTGGGGCGGTGTATGCTGGGGAGTGTTTATTGTCTATGACAGAAAACAAAGCGGGGGAAGGGAAGGGGGAGTCCACGCTGTTGATGTGTTTAACTAGTGTTTTGACTCTTCTCTTCTGGGTATCTGGGGAACACTTTCTTCTTTGGGACGCTGGGACGCTGCAGAATACGATCTGTGTGCTTTGACTGGGGATACCATGCCAAAGTGCAAGCACCGATGACGTGCGAAGTGGAAGGCTACGTGGCCAGCTGTGGCTTTTTTCAATCTGTTTAGATGCGAAGATGAGTGTTGCGGTGCCAAAGGGGATAATGTACTGTGTAGTATAAGCTTGTGTTGATGAGACGATATTGATGTTGTTCTATAGCAAACACGTCAAAATTTCCTTTATAGGCGACATGTTTCTACAACGTATGGCTATTACCGGTAGTAGCATGATAGTATCTCAAGTCTTTTTAAGGCAAATCTTCTGATGGATTTAGCAACCAGACCCCGCAAATACTGGGTCCAACTCTGTTTTGAAGGATCCGCGACGCGATCTAGATGGCTTGGACGGTGGCAATCCAACAACACTCGTGCTTCTGAGCATGCATATCGCTATCTCGCTACCGGTGTCTCGATTCGTGGTCAAGGTGGGTGGGGGGCGTACAACAAACAGCCTTGGTAGATTCATCCCCCCTTCCCAGACCCTTTATCGGTGGGCACACTGTATGAGGGACCTCAGCCACGTAATGGGGCTCAGAAACCGGATTCCGCTAATCTTGGAACGGTCCAAGGCTTCTGGAATCGACGATCCTTCCAACGCACCGCATCTGACAAGGAGCAGACCGACGCTGGGAAACTTGGATGTTAGATACAAAGTCAAATCCATAGTGCGTGTACCGGTAGCACAGCTGCGTGGGCAGCCTATCGCAAAAGGGGATTTCTTTGTCCTTGACCCGTGTCAGCACGACTGGAGGTTGTGAGTGACGTCGGCATGCTTGAATTATGAGACATCTGCGAGGCTGCGCCACATGGATGGAACAAATATTTTCCCGTCTCAGCTGAACGTCATTGCTTGCGCATACATGGCATTCTCTGGCCCGTGGTGGGGTTCTGCTCACTTTGTGATGGAGACTGAAATCTTCTCACATGGGAAAATGGGTCGCATTGGGAGGGGCTCTCAGGCCTGCTGTGGCACACGCCGGCAAGTTTCACAATGCAGGTACCCAAAGGCGTGGAACTGGTAGGGTTGGATGGTGGGTGCTTTGGGTACTCTAGTACTCTAGTAGCAGCAGGTATGTACACCGTAGCTGGGATCGCGATGGAGCGTCGGTGAAGGATAATTTCAGGAGCGTGCCGGTGACGTTGCGTGGCTGATCCATTGCTCGGGGCCAAGCTCGTCATCCAGGGATGAGCTTTGTGCCCAATCACAGCCCCTCGCTCTTTCACCCTCAGCATTGCTACCGGGAATTCCAAGGTTGCAACCAACTACTCTACGTTCTTGTCACGCAAAGCGCCCTAGCAACATGGGCAGTGTACGGATTCAGCCGCCCTTGTGCTGCTCCGCCGTGACTGTCCAAATTCACGTCATGGGACTAGTATTTTCTTTAAAGCTCCATCCATATCTCACAAGCTTTGAGCCATTTTGTACCCTTGGCTTTCCAACAAGTCATCAACCCTTACTATCTTCCACCTACAGACTCGCACACTCCTGCATCACATCTTACGTTCACGAATACAAATTACCACGTTGCAATCCTTCAACCTATATTCGGGCATTACGCAAGCTCCACGCTTCCAAAGTAACACGGATCAGTTTCGAACACTAAACTCCAAACATCTTGGCACTGATTACTACCTATTTATCCAACTTCCACTCCAGGATTTGGAAGCTCTCATCTCCTCACCACAAAACATAGCAATCGGTCCACTGTAGGAAGATTTCAAGATTTCCCACCATCAACACCATGCCTTCAATCACCAGGCCAACCCTGTGTAGAGTGAGTATATTCCGAGACTCTTGCACATGCGTGCGTACTGACTCGCGTCGTAGAACGAATCCATGCAAAAGTACATGTTGCTGTCTGCCCAGAAAGAAGCTTTGCAACGCCGCATGGCTTTGGAAATTCCTTTTGGCATACCCATGGCTGTCGAATCACCGGAATTCCAGTCTCTTTCATCTTCGCCAGAATGGTCGCCAAAATATGCTTCACCATACCCCACAGCCACGGACCCCATTCCCACTCGATCTTCCATGAGCCCCCGCCGCAGCGTTGACGACATGCACACGGCAGAGGCTGCAAAACTCTCCGAGCTCAATCACCAGATCGTCGCGACACTCACCGAGCTTCTCAACACCGAGTCCGTACGCTCCGACGAGAAGCATCATCGATGGATTCAGGAGCGTCTAATGGAGGTAGAACACCAAATCCGCCGAGACAGACGCCGGCACTCATCCAACGCTGAACGCAATTTCGCCTCTTCAATCGCACAACATCTTGACCTTGGTCTCAACACCTCGAAGACCTGGGCTTGATTCATCGAGCCATCCATCTTTCTCTACATAGACTGCACTCTGCTCTGAAATTGCTTGCAGGGTGATCTCAATCTTCTTCTTGGCGCTGAGTAGGGTCTGGCGTACTGGTGTTCTGAAATGAAGTGCTCAAATCAGAAAAAGATACCCGATGCTGCGCATCAACATGCATGGTCGTGTGCGCTGGAACTGCCAGGTTCCCATTACTCATTCTTACATTAGATTGGTATCATATTCATCTATACACACTTCCTTGCACTGTTGTGGTGTCTTACTCACACGACTTCGTTTATGATTTCCATTTCCAGTCTCCTTTCCTCGAGTCAGTGTCTACCGCCGGACTTTCGACCGTGCCACAGCAGCCAACCATGCATCCAAGAAGTCTAGAGCAAACTCTGCGGAGACTTATCCGCAGCCACTTACCGTTTGCGCATGTGCCATGGTCGATATCATTGCATGGGATACTCTGAAATCACTGTGACTTCAAACAAATCTTAGCTTCACCCAAGGGTCCACTCCACTCATCCACCACACCTCAAGCCAAGCCAAAACCCCAGCACACCAACCCTGCCCGACCATCACCATCGCCCACCAAATCACAAACTCTCCCCCAGACCCCAACTCTTTGGGGCCCAAACAGGCTGGGCGTTTTGAGAATCTCACGGCAATCATCGGTCGCAGAACTGCGCCACTGTTAACATTGACGTCATACCCCCTCCCAAACTCATCACCACAACCACAATCAAAGCGACACGAAGCAATCTCGACACCCTATTTTCATTCCTCAACATTTCTGCAGACATCGAGCCCTAACGCCTTGATCTCAAAGAAGGCGGTCCAATATTGCAAAGACCATGGCCGGATGCGGTCATCGATCGACAATGGAGCCTCGCTAGTCGACCGCGAACGTTTGACCCTCTGCCGCACTGCTGTATTGGGTAGTCTGCGGATGAGTTCTTCCGTAGCTGAAGACTTGGTTCCAGCGTATCGTACTCTGGGTTTTGTGGTATGCGGGGATTGCGTTTGAAGGTTAGCAGTGGTGTAACGGTGCTATCGTGGGCCGCAGGATGGTTATCTAACCCAACCACATTGCCGCCCGGCCAATAGAAGATCATCCACCTGGTATGCCGGAGAGTACACACCATTGTGTAGATCAATACTACCGGTATGAAGCGGGTGGAATCCAAGCATACATTCGTGCTTTACAAGGCCTTGTGTTGGAACTGTTGCTTTGTCTTCGGTTCCACTTGCTTGCCAAAAGTCCGCGGCTCAGCCCGTTCGGGTACGCATGGTGACACTTACGCCAGAGAGAGAAAAAATCGGCTCTTGGCTCGCTCGCGTGAGCAAAGTGATCAGGTCAGCCCATCACGCCACAGCGTTTCTGAATTTTGCTCTTGTGGGGTGAGGTAGGGAGGCAAGAAGATACTTGTAGTGGCTTCTAGGCGCACTTCTTCCACAGCAACTTTAGGCGAGATGAGCGGGAAAAATGGCAAAGTTGTGGTTTCTGACAACTGCTGTGTCTCCAGTATCTACTCTGGACCTGAGATGGATGGAAGTGTTGTACATTGCCTGTGTTCTCTTACTCTGCCCATGTAAATAATATCATTGCCAGCAGGTTGTATAACTCCCAATTCAATATCACCCGGGCTCGGATTTCCCGAAAACTCAATTCTGGAGACCACTTTACCTGCATATTCCGTCTGTAGACTCTCGTCCAAAGCAAGCGCTACCTGTAAATGCACGAGCCAAGCCGTGGGCTTTATAATAGAGCCGTAGGTACTCGACCATCGAGAACGGAGTGTGTTAATCGAGCGTATCTGAACGAACAATGTGATCATGTGCCACAAGGTCACGAAAGCTCCCTTACACGTCCATGTCACACGAAGAAATATCGTAGAATGACAAGATTAATAGAGATGAACTCTACGTTTATCAATCCAATCGGGGAACCACATGATCAAATTGGCGCTGTATAAATCTCCACGGCTCGAGTAGATTGGTTTATATGGAATGTGAGGTTGATGGTAGTGTCAGACTTGTCTTGCTCTTGCTTTTGCTTTGCCTGGACTACTGGTACTTAGCCGAAAAGAGGTATCGCTGCAGAGTTGACCTTCCGGATGAAGGTGTCCTTCTACTACGTCGAGTAACTAAAGCGTGTACGTTTAATATATGAGCACAGATTGTCATGAATGGGATGATACATGTAAGCGTGTTGCTGACCGCGCGGCGTTGCATGAAATGTGGTATCTGATTTAAGTCGATTGGAAGATGGTAAGACGATAGAATGATGTATCTGGGGCGCAGATGATAGGTGCAAGACTATTTATATAGACAGTCTGAGTTCAAGAGTGCATCTTAGGTATGTCGTTTCATGCGACTCTTGTTTTTTGTTTTTAATTGAAGTACTCTCTATCCCGGCTTCTCTGACAAGTCCTGGAAACCCATTGGGCTACAGCAACTCTCAGCATCTTCGGTTTATTTACTTCCAGGTGTGTGTTCGGACCTTCTTGGGTGAAATCTGAAAAATCTTGAATACAACACAACCCAAGGCCCGGCTAATATTATGACCACAAAGAATACAACCTCGCCAACATGATCTTCTCTGTATAAGATGCTATGATTTCAGACTTTTAATTCTTTTACTATTCGTTTGGCCCCGATGATATCGCTGACCGTGTTTGCTTGGGAGCAATCTCCACTCCAGCAGTAGCTTTCAAATAATAAAGCATGCATGTAACATGGGCATAATCCTGCACATGTGTCTCAAAACTTTTGTCGTGTAACATATACGCCTCATCGTAAAGTGCTTTCCTCTGATCGAGTATACGAGCGGCATACTTATATGCGCCCATCACCTGTTCGCGCGCCCGAGTGATCAATATACACACTCCAATCCCTCTGCACACTGATGCCCTCATTTGGCGAGGGTCCCTGCGCAGGGGCCGTACTGTCGTCGCTCAACCGCGTCATCACAATATCGGTCTGGTTCTTCCCATATCCTGTATCCACAGTCTTCAGCTCTTCTTCGCTATCCGACTTTGTGAGTCCCCCGATTGTCGAAAACAAGCCACCAGTCGAGCCCTTCTTACGCGGGCGCGGCTTGTTGGAGCCCCCGAATCCACTAGATTGGTAGCCACTGCTGGGTCCCGGCGACTTGTTATCCGAGTTGCGTGATCCGTTAAAGGTGAAGAGCCTGTTGAGACCGATGGCGGCGAAAGCGGGCTTGAGACTAGGCATGCAGGCGCATATGAGACCGACGTTGATTTCAACAATTGACCACACGATTATCTCGCGGAAGTTGAAGGTCACGTCGCCGGATGTTGCAATGGGGATGCTGAGGAAGATGATGAGACGGACCAGCGAGACCACGGCGATAAAGGTTCCCAGTATGAACATACCCGCAAGGATCAGTCGCTGTGCGAGTGGAGCCTGAAGGCGCCATACGTAGGGTAAAGGCATGAGAACTACGACGAGATCGAGAATGACATTAGGTATTGATCCACCCAAGTATATCGATCGAATCGGAATGCACTTCGCATTGGTGATGGTGACATCCCAGGCCGCGTGGACAGGTAAACAGCTGAAGATGACACTGAAGAACTGTTCACTTGCTGTCAGCAGAAACTCTGATTCGGGTGAACAAGTACCCACAATACCAATGAACCATGCTATGCACATGCCAGCCACGACCCATATGATCACCCTGGCACTGACAGCAAACAGCCGCCAGTAAAACGCAAGGACTGCGAGTTTGGTGCTTGTGATTGCAAACGTGTACATGAGTTGAGCGATCCAGACACATTTCAAGAACTCGATAATCATCATAGGATCGGGCAGATCGGCAACGTGTCGTCCAAGCATGTCTCTCATCCCTGTGGCCAAATGAGCAAAAACCGCTGCAACGGAGATACACATGGAGAACCTTACCCATCATGCTGACCCAGAAGAAGCCATTGGCGAAGAATAGAGAGGCAATGCTCAAGTAATCATCCAGTCCAATGTTCGCCCAGCCGCCTGCTCTTCTGCGACACCAGAGTTTGAGGGGGACGATTATCATCACAAGTGCGTAGGTGAAAGAGCCGACACTGTCGAGGCGGAGAATGTAGGCATCTCTAGATACAGTCAGTGCTTGTTGAATGATGAAGCTCTTCGGTCAAGCATGATACACGAGCGTTCAACAGTACGATCCAATTTTGTGGAGACATTACTTGTACGTGTGCGTGTCTCTAGGTATTGATGTAGAAATGGGGACATGGGTGTCACTTACACAGTCTCTTCTGGATTCGTAATTGGTGCCATCCTGACCAGCTGGCTTCACCAAAGGTAAGACTATTCGACCGACAGTAGGAAATTTTCAAGATTTCTGTATGATCAACGAAAGGGACATGGAGCAAGTAACAGAGGGCCCTTTTTGCCTTTGACTACTCAAATCGCCTGAGTGATGGGCAGGAGATACCCCAACCCAATTGACATGGCTGTTTCGTCCCGCAACCATATTGCTGGGATCTATCACTGCTTCATTTGACACAGTGAAGTATGCCAAGACTGTGATGGGACGGCACTGTTGTAAAACTGCACGTTACTTTTCTGGACCGACTCGCAAACTTCTCTGTCTGGTAGGTATGTGCCTCTAGGCCCGATAGGCAGCCGAGCCGCTGCCGCGTTTCAATCTGCCGTCGGCACCTGAATACAAGGATAGAATCCTGCATATTTCCGGCGATCGTGTCCTCGCTCGTCGTCCTTGCTAACCAGATAAAGAAAAGCGAAATCAGACTGTCGACAGAACAGCAGAAGTGACATGGCTTGTCGTGCGGAGATTTCTTCCTTTAGGAGCTGGGATCTTCACTTGCCAG